GTGTGTTGAGTGCTTTTACCCTCCTAAGTGGCCTTTCTCTCTGGCTGTCCCTCTGCAGGGATCAGTCTCAGACAGTTGGTCTTCACTTCGTAGCCAAGGTGCTTAGCCACAAAAAAAAGCTTTTAGCTGTTTTAGTTTTAAACCTAATGAGGGTTGAGGTGCACGTTTTCATTTTGCAGTTTGGTCGCAATGGACAGACCCAGACAGCACAACGCCTCACTCTCCTCTCTCTGGACACGGACTAGAGTAGCATCTACTGACACTGTAATGGAAACACTCAGCTCTGCTGGCCTTTGTATATGAACAGGATTTTATAATGAGGTGTTCAACATATTGGCAATAAAGAAAAATCTATGATTACACATCAGCGTGTTTTTACTTTGTTCACTGTATGAATGAAAGTCTATGCACATGATTTCACACTATATAATGATTTTTATTTGAATCTTTTTTATGATGCTGTGTTAAAAATTTATGGAATACTGTACTGACATTGCCAAGCAGTTACATTTTCTGGTGATGTACACTACTATGACTTTTTTTGTGACTTTTAAATTAAATGATTACTGCGTTACTACTCTTTTTTTTTTTTTTTTTTTTTACACTGAACAAAAATATAAACGCAACACTTTTGTTTTTGCTCCCATTTTTCATGAGCTGGACTGCTTCAGGAGGAGAGAGACTGAGGAAAGGGTTAGTTCTGCTTATATAGTAGGCGAGAAGGCTGTGATTGGTGTGTGTTCCCGCTCCTGAAACTGCGCTTTAACAAGCTTCGATTAATGAAAAAATAACAACATAACAACATACTATACTTTGACGTTTTTGATGAAAAAATGACGACATACTATACTATGACTTTTTGATGAAAAAACCATGACATACTATACTTTGACGTTTTTGATGAAAAAATGACGACATACTATGCTATGACTTTTTTTAATGAAAAATGACGACATACTATACTATGACTTTTTTAATGAAAAAATGACAACATACTATACTATGATACTATGACGTTTTTGATGAAAAAACCATGACATACTATACTTTGACGTTTTTGATGAAAAAATGACAACATATTATACTATGACGTTTTTGATGAAAAAACCATGACATACTATACTATGACTTTTTTCATAAAAAAATTAACATACTATACTATGATGTTTTTGATGAAAAAATGACGACATACTATACTATGACGTTTTTGATGAAAAAACAATGACATACCATACTGACTGTTTTTAATGAAAAAATGACGACATACAATACTATGATATTTTTTAATGAATAAATGACGACATACTATACTATGACGTTTTTGATGAAAAAACGATGACATACCATACTGTGACTGTTTTTAATGAAAAATTGAAGACATACCATAGTATGACGTTGTTGATGAAAAAATGATGACATACTGTGACTGATTTAAATGAAAACTTGAAGACATACTATAGCATGACGTTTTTAATGAAAAAATGACAACATACTATACTATGATGTTCTCGATGAAAATGACAACATACTATACTATGACGTTTTTGATGAAAAATGACAAAATACAATACTATGATATTTTTAATGAATAAATGACGACATACTATACAATGCCGTTTTTGATGAAAAAATGATGACATACCATACTGTGACTGTTTTTAGTGAAAAATTGCAGACATACTATAGTATGACGTTTTTGATGAAAAATTCATGACATATTTTATAAAAAAAATTGACAACATACTATACGATGAAGTTTTTGATGTAAAAATGACGACATACTATAGTATGACATTTTTGATGAAAATATGAGGACATTCTATACTAAGACATTTTGTAGGAAAAATTGATTATATACCATATTATCACTTTTTTTAATGAAAAATTGAAGACGTACTATACTATGAAGTTTTTGATGGTAAAATAACGACATACAGTGCTTTGACATTTTTGATGAAAAAATGACAACATACTATTCTATGAAGTTTCTGATGAAAAAATGGCAACATATTATACTTTGAATTTTTTGACGATAAAATTACGACATGCTATATTTTGACTTTTTTGATGGAAAATTGATGACATACTATACTATGACGTTTTTGGTGAAAAAATGATGACATAGTATACTTTCATATTTTTGATGTAAAGATGACAGCAAGCTAAATTATGACGTTTTCTTTATCAAAAAATTGACGATATACTATACTATGATGTTTTTGATGAAAAAATGATGACATACTATACTATGACATTTGATGAAAATATGAGGAAATTCTATATTATAACTTTTGATGTAAAAATGACAACAAACTAAACTATGACGTGCTTTTTGTCAAAAAATTTAGGACATACTATACTATGACTTTTTTGTGACATTCTTTGATGACATACAGGTATTTTAACTTTCTTTTTAAGTGCTGTACTTTTTTTTTCCCAATGACATACCATTCCAGGATTTCTTTAGGTTTTGATGACTGAGTAGCAACTTAGGGAACCAGCAGTGGAAAAGTGCACATATGAAACCAAATAACTTTTCATTACACTTCCACATTGTCCATGGAGTTGTCAACAGAAATCACTACCTTCCCTAGCACTCATAAAAGAACTTCATCCCTGCAACCTTCACAAGGTGCCAGTAGTTGCCCTGCAACCAGTAGCTTTCTACGAACTGGCATCGCTAACCTGGCAGACACTTGTTAGTGGAGTGCAGTTTGATGCATTTCATGTTCAGGGTCCGCACAAAATGTTTCTGAAGGTTGCCACTGGTCAGCGGGCCATACTTTTAGAAACTATGATTAATCATAACATATCTGCAAAAGTAATAACATTCCCATCAGTCTCAGCTGAGCTTTGTGTTTCGTACTAACCAGCAAACATCAATATGGTAACATGCTAAACTAAGATGGTGAAAATGGTGAACATTAAACGTGCTAAACATTAGCATGTCATTTTCACCCATATTTAATACCATGTAATACAGGGTACAAAAAATAGGGATCATAAAGCTCCAGACTTAAATATTTTTAATCATAAAGTGATTCAGGTTGACAGATAAATAAATTAAATACATTTCTTTACAAAGAGACAATGAATGACGATCAGTTTACAGTTGTCACAATATAAATACTGCAGCACTGTGAACATGTTGATGCGTTGAGCTTGTCGTTGGGCAGAGATGTTGAATTTTGTCATCTTCTCCTGATGTTGACGTTGGCAAGAAACAGGGAAACTGACGTCACTCCACCTGTCAGGGTGTCCAACACTGGTTGCCATGGTGACCCCGGAGAAGATGGGGTTAACAGAGAATTCCATGTCAGTTACATCACCACTGCTTCCACAGGACGTTCTTTTTTTCTCTCTCTTCTCCTTCATTGTAACCAGTGAAACCAGAGACTGAGCATGTCTTTCACACGCTGCTTACACGGAGACAAGAAAGGCTTCATTGTACAGAACGAAACGCTGAAGAGTCACTCTGAAATAAAGTCCAACCACTTCCTGTGAAGTGGCGGGTGTGGCTGCAAATTTCATTTGAGTGAGAAAAATCATCCAAGTGTCTTTTCCAGTAATTTGATTTTCATGGATGTTTGGCTGAATGACTCCTCTGAATGAACGTCACCTCGGGGAGGAAATTGAGTTTGAAAGATTGAATGCTGCAGAGAAGCCTCAGTTAAAAACCAAATGTGTGACACACCTTAACCCCATTATGCACTTATAAGCATGAAAATATGAAGACTTAATAAACTGTTTATAACTCACTATAATGTAGTTTGTCAGATGATACAAGGTCATTTTAAGAGTTTCTTGAAGCTGAAAAGGCTCATTGTCAATATAAATTCTACTATGAAGTATTCTTGATTGGTGTATTAACAGTTAATAACTGATTCAACTAGCTGTAATCATATTTAAAGAAATAGAATGATCAGAAATTACTTGTTGAGAATTAGATGAGAATATTGATAGAGCTCATATCTGTACAGTAAATATGAAGCTGCAGCCTGTTAGCTTAGCATAAAGAAGAAGTGAATAAGTGTATCTCCCAGAATTTTGAACTACTCCTTGAGTAAAAGATTATGACAGACATGAGCAAACCCCTACATTGTGCTATAAGATCTTTTTTGATTGTTTCTACATGTATGCCGATCATTCACAGGCAAGTTCTTAAGTGTTTATAAATGCTTAAATTTCATTCAAATAAAGACCAAAAACACAACTCTAAATGACTGCTAGTGCTGCTCTGTGTCTGTCTGCTGGACATGTTAATAAGTAGCTGTTAGCTAACACCTTTACTATGTTAAAGGGGACCTATAATGCTCATATTTAGGTTCATACTTGCATTTTGTGTTTCTACTGGAACAGCGTTTACATGCATAGATGTTCAACACTATTTTATTTAAAACAGTCTGTGCTGAAACGTCTGCATTCACAACACATTCTCACTCCAACCTTGTCACATATTGACGTTTGGTCATGGACTTTCCACGTCCACATACGACACGCAAGGTACCCTGGGTGCGTTGGTTGTTGACGTTCACCGTGTCAAGGCCTGCTGACATGAATTGTCGTCTTTCACGATACACCTCCGTTTTCACGGGAAATTTACCATTTACAGACTCTTTCAAAGTGAATGCACTTAGTCGCCACAACACCGCAAATTAAATTTTTTTTTTCCAACAACTAACGCACATGGTTGGGTTTAGGAAAAAGAACAGGAGTTGACTTGATGATCCTACAGGACGCGAACATTGCTCTCCCAGGTGAAAGTTTGTTGGACCAATCCACCACCACTCCTACCCACCCTACTCAGACTTTCACAGCCTTAACTTTCATTTTTGTCCTGCAGCGTTTCCCCCTAACGCTGCAGAGTGCCGTTGAACTATAATTGCGACTAGCTGTATATCACGCCAACATTAAGGGATAGCTTTTTTGTCAGTGTCTGACGCCGCAAATCATTGCCCAAGCACCAGATTTCGACGACTTTGGAGTGAGACCAGGTTGGTTTTCACAGTCTGTCTGAGACGCCCAACTCTTGCTGGAAAGATGGCTGACTACTTCAGAAAAGAAAATGCACTGCAAACACAAAAAAGGATTATCTTTTCCTCGGCTACGCAATCTAAAGGTGCATTGAAAGCCAGAAATCAATAAAGCCTTTATGAAAGTGGAGGAATTGGTGTTGCTAGCAGCTGTGGACATGTGCCGTGAGATGGGCCCTGTGGAAAAGGTTGAGAACCCCCAACTTAAAGAAAGTCCTTATGTTTGTTTACGACTAAGTCATAGTGTGTTATAAACCAGTTATTAATTGTTTTTGAACTCATCAATATGAAACAGGAGGGGTTAAAGAGTCAGCAGAGCATCAGAGGTTAGGATGTGATAGAGGAGGTCTCAGCAGTTACCAGGGTCTGTGTGAGCCCCTCCTCAGGAGTCCCTCAGAAAGGCAGGAGGGGCCACAGCTCCGGGTTCAAAGAGCCGTCCCACGCCCGGCCTCACCCTCACAAATGGGCGTCGTCTTGATGAGCTCTCTGCCTGCTCCCACAGTCAGACACCTAAACACAACACACACAAATAGCTATATAAACACACCCTCACATCTGTTAAACACTTACACTCTTTAATGCATTCATAAACACACACCAGAACACACACAACACACCCCGCAGGCCCGCAGACACAAAGAGATATGCAGGGCCACAATGTGGTGTATTTACTCTCTGACGCATGTTTTTCTGACCTGTGTTTGCATTAATGGGAAGGTGTTTGGCACCTTGATAAGGACAGTTAGTTGATCATTGCCATGTGGCACAGTGTTCCCCTCTGTGAGACTGTGGCGTCCAAAAGAAACGCTCTTCTGACCTCTAGTGCCGGAACCTGTTATTCTTTTTAAACATTAATGGAAAGTATCTAAGCACATGTACACAAGTGCTGAACTTACAGTGAGTCCAAGTTTGAGGTATTTATTTAAGAATTTATTTTTATGTTACTTCCTATCATTCGTCTACATTTCAGAGGGAAATATTATACCTTTTACTGGACTAAATTTATCTGACAGCTGGAGTTATTAGTTACTTTGCAGAATATATTTTTACAAACAAAACATGTGATCATTTATAAAATATGACACTGTACTTTAGACTAAAGCTGTACTTGGTAACTTTGGTTGGTAACACAATATTTTTGCGTGACAATTTCATATCAATACATGGACGCCAATTATACATTTTTTATTATATAAATTATTAATCTTGCAAATACAAATTGAACTTCTGAAAGCCTTCTAGGATAATAAAATCAAATGCTTTTTTTTCCAGTCTGTTTGCTGCAATAAAAATGAGGAATGAACAGACTGAAACCTTTATCTTATTCGATAAAACAGATGTTAACAATGTTTTCCCTTGGAGACATAATTTGCAGTTGAATAAAGGTGATAAATCACAATATACCGCAGTATATTTTACTGCAATACTATTGTATCTTGACAAAACTACTGTGATCATATCATATCGTGGAGCCTCTGAAGATTCCCACCCTTACTTATGGCATAGTCACTGAAACTATCACTATATTTACACATCACTAAATTAGACAGATAATCTGTAATAAATTTTTAAAAAAAATCTTATTACGCTGCTGACTGCTGCTATTGACTTGCAGTGCCTCACATCTTCTGTTTCTGCGCTGCCTATTTCTCACCTCAAAGGTTTTCAGAAACATATTTTAGTGCACCGTTTAGCTGTAAAATGAGCATGTTGGCTCAGCTGGTGGGTGGTGCTCTGTGCTCTCAACAAGGCAGTTGTGTCACAAGCTTTCTCACTTTACAGCTAAACAGCGCACTAAAATATGTTTCTGAAAAAGTGAGAAATAGGTAATACAGTAACAGAATCTTAAGTCATATTTGATCAGTGTTGTCTAGTCTGACAGTTTGACCGCAGTTCACAAGCAGTGACTGACAGCTTCATTGGAGACTCTTTAGCTCTGATTGGTTGTTCATGGTGAGTCGTGGTCTGATCCTAGCGAATGCCATTAGAAGCAGAACAAAGAGGAGGGGGAACATGATTTTTTTTTTTTTTTGACAGATATGATATGGTGACAGTTTCAGCATAACATGACACAAAGTTATTTTCATAAAAGTTAGCAACTGTAGCTTTAAGCTAGTCAACAGTATATAATGTATTTACAGTGTGCAGTAATGATATTCCAATAATGATACATGTATAATAATACAGCCTAACTCTCTGAGAGGAACAGCTCTGTCCAACACATACTTTTACTTTGATACTTAAAGTACATTTTGCAGTTAATGTTTTTGTACTTAAGCTTAAGTGAAATATTAAGCGTAGGACTTTTACTTGTAACAAAGCACTTTTGCAGAGCTGTGTTGCTACTTCCACTTGAGTACTTGTGTATTTAATGAGTATTAATTTCTAATGCTGGGACCTTTTATTCCATTCAAACATTGTAGTACTCTTTAAGGAGTATTTCTTCTTCAAGTAGTTTTCAATTAATGTTGTTTGTAAAGTAGTACTTAAAACATGAGCCTTTATTTCCAACAAATCAAGAGTAGACATTCAATACCCCACTTTTTACAAAATGATAAAAAGCTTTACAGATAAAAAGACTATAAATAAAAATATAAATAAAATTGATTTATAGTCTTTTTTTCGGTAAAGCTTTTTTATCATTTTTGTAAAAAGTGGGGTATTGAACGTCTACTCTTGATTTGTTGGCTATCACGTGTAACACACCTGTAACACATCAGAGCACACAACAACTGCACCAGAACATACATAATGTACTATAATGATTTGGGAGGTAGTTAAGCTGGTATAAGTCATATATCTATGGCTAGAAACTAATATAATAATATAATTTAATTATTTCATTTAGTTGCCAATATGTATTATGAGATGTGACGAATTCTTATTAGAGTGAATTCTTATTGTTTTCATAAGTAATAAAACATTGCTGGTGAATAAAAATGTTGCAGATCAAGTCATGTTAAATCAAGTTTATTTGTAAAGCCCAATTTCACAAACAATACAAAAAGATTTCTACTGCTACATGTGGTTTAAAAAAGGTCAAAATTAGATTAGAAGACAAATAAATAAATAAATAAATCATAAATACATAAATTAAAAAGGCAATAGTGCAATACTGCTTTCCAGAAGTAGTGATTGTGTGCAAACTGACGACTGCAGTATCATCCATACTCAAGATGTAATTCATCTTTCAGGATGACCAGCAGACGTTTTCTCAAGCAGAGATGCAGATATGTTGTTATTAGATTATTACAGTGAATAAATATTAAATTATCCGGCGGCGTGTGTCATTTTCTGGCAGACATTTAAAGGAGCTGAGCTGCAGGAGCTCACCCTGGTTGTTGGAGCTGAACTTGACTCTGACCAGCATTTCTCCTCCGTCCTGCTCCACAGCGCCTCCCTCTGAACTCTCAGCCTGATGGACACAGAGACACAAGATAGAGGAAGGAAATTAGCAACTCAGAAAACAATCCCTCAGACAAATATGGAGACCTAATGTGTCCAAAATTTCTTAAAAACCAAACAAACATATATATTAAACATAACAAAATATGTTATTTTTGTTATGTCCTCTGTATAACATCAGGACATCTGAACCAGTTTTACCTTTCCACAAAGTGGGTACCAGTGGAAGCACTGGGAGTCCTTGTCCTCAAACCTCCAGCCGTCCAGCGGTACAAGGACTTCGCCGAGAAACACCTTCCTTTTCAGGGATCCTGAATGCCACACAGAGGCCCGCAGTCTCTTTCCAAACAAGAGGTGGCGCTCTAGTTTAAACTGTCAAGAACCAGATGAGGAGCTTAAATTAGTTTAAACTTGATATGACACCACATTAACAGCAAACAGAAGCAACAAATATTCTTCTTTTTACCGTAAAAACTTCATTATAAACCGGATCAGTCGTGTTTTTCTTCACTCTCGTCTTCATCTTGCCGCTCTTTCCCGGCAGCATGTGGAGTTTGACGAATCTACACAGAAAAAAGACAGGACGCAGAGGTGTTGTTAAAGAATCACACAACAAACTGCGGTCACACATGTACATGTACGCATAAAGTTGTATTTATTTTCCTTACGGGTGACACTTCTTCTTCTTGCTGTCTCCGCAGGTGAGATTTCTGCAGGCACCGACTGTGACCTCCAGACAGGAGGTGTAGGTGTTGTAGGCCAGGGCCAGCTCCAGCTCCCCTGCGATGCTGATGCTCTCGAAGAGGCTGCAGTCTGTGCTGATGCTGCTACTGCTGCTACCCTGAGGGGGGAAAAAATATTGTTAAAAGCGCAGAAAGACTGTGTCTGATGGAGATTAACAGGAGTACGGAACAGAAAAATGGATTTTGTCTTTGGCTATGTTCACACTGCAAACCTCATGGTTCATTTATGCTAAACCTTAGCTTCGTATACGGACACAGACTGCGTCGTCTTCGTCTGTATTTGTGCACTTTTCTGAAAGCTTAAGGATCCAAACAAAGTGGAGCATATTATGTGTAGGGTACTCCAAGTAAGATACGACTGTAGGACATGACATTTGTGAACAGACGATAACGAGGATGAGGCAGTTTTTAAGTATGGCTTTTTGTGGAGCAAGGGCTGCTAATTCTGTACGGAGGTGTGCGTGGATGCAGAGTTGGAGCCAGGAGTGGAGGGATTGTGACGTGAACGGCTTCGCTAAGACAGACTACCTCCATCGCAGCTGTCTACCACGTTTGTATTCACTGAGTGACTCCAGCCAGCACAGAATGGTGACAGATGTTGGTCCAGAGTGACGTAAAAGTTGCACGAAGTCTTTTCAGACTGCGGTCACAGTGTAAAAAATCAGGGTCCGTATTCACAAATGTTCGGAGAACACTCTCAGAGAGCTCCTAACTAAGCCTAACAACTTTTAGTAAGGAGTCTTAGTTTAGGAGTGATTTAGGAAAGTTCTCAGAGCAACTCTGAGCAAGGAAGGGACAGAAACTTTTATGTTAGTGAGGATGTGTGGTTGACCCTGTTGCTAGGTGTGATGCATACTTTTGTGGGTCTGCAAGGTGTGGACACCCAGTGGAAATGAAATTAAAGTGTTGTGGGTATTAGTGTGATCACTCTGCTGATGGAAGGTTGAGACAGAATCAAGTCATCACTGCTGCACTGTTGCGTCTTGGGATCATTTTATTTCTGGCGTTATAGCGTTGGGTGGAAAATGTGTGTGTATCCCTACTGACATCAACCATACATATTAACCCTGCACGATCTAATCCATAGCAACTCAATAACTCACTTGAAATGGCCACTATTGAATGAAAATACAGACAGTACTTACTAACCCTCATGCTGACAAGAAGTCCAGTGTAGTTTTTAATCCACAAAACTCATTCGGGGTATCGAGTATAACAGCTAGCTGGATTTTTCCATACACTTGAACCCACGTACAAAATCATTTTGAAAATGTAATAAAACTCCGCGAATGCATTTCAAAAACGTCAGAATGGCTCGTCCGTCGTAATCCAAGTGCCCTGAAGCCGCAGCATGCAAAATGGACTTGAAAAGACGTAATTTACTCCACTTTATAGCATCATTTCTCACCGTGGTCAGTTAGCCTGCCCTGTAGGCGTGCTGTGTTTACATAGCAACTCGTGCGAGACTCGAGAAAGTCTCAAGTCTCGCACAATGTCCAGGCACTTGGATTATGACGGACGAGCCGTTCTGATGTTTTTGATTTTCATTTTCAAAATGATTTTGGACGTGGGTTCCATGCACTTCAAGTGTATGGAAAAATCTGGCTAGCTGTTATCCTCCGATACCCCGAACGAGTTTTGTGGATTAAAAAACTACACTGGACTTCTTGTCAGCATGAGGGTCAGTAAGTACTGTCTGTATTTTCATTCTAAAGTGGCCATTTCCTTTAAGAAACTCTTAAATCTCTTAAAACAGTTTTTTACCTTAAGGAGCTCTTGTAAGGGCTAAGATAACTTTTATCTTTACAAGGATCTCGTCTTAACTATAAGGGGAAATTCTAAGAAAACGTCACAATTCTAAGAATTTTCTAAGAACTTCGTCACTAGTAGCAACTCTTAGCACTAGGAAGCTTTGTGAACACGGCCCCAGTTCTGTATCTGGTTCAGGACCACATATGAAAATGTTCCAAATCTAAATGCAAAAGATCAGATTCTATGTGATCTGTGTGATTCACACTGTGATGACGAAAAAATATCTCAGTCACCTTTAAGGACAAAATTTATGGTGGAGCCACTCTTGCAGTCTGAGTGCAGCCTGAGCTAGGAGGCTCTAATTATCATAATCTGTGGTGTGACTATGACAGGATGTCACTTGGGGATGTGTTTTTATCAGCTTCTACTTACTCTCCTTCCTCCAGAGTACTCAGAACCACAGGAAGTTTCTTCTTCCGCCCCGGTGGAGGAGCCATCCTGGTCGCTGTCTCTGTTTTTCTTGAAGAGGTTCGGAAGACTGGGGCCTTTGAAGAGCTGAAAAAGAAACAGGAGTTTTTCTTCACTGATAGTTCCCTGTAGGGACCAGTAGGGACCAGTAAAGGTCTTAGATTACTCTAAGCTCCTGTTAGTGGCCTTGTTCAGTGGTCTCATTGGCTGATTTAGATTGTGAAAGTCAGCTTGGACTAAACATGTCTGCAGCAGATGACTCAGGTGAAGGATTTGGGCTGCGTTTGTTTGCACTGACTGTATGAACTGCTGACTTACATGGCTCGCTTTGCTGATGTCGGTGTCAGAGAGGCTCTTTTGGGAGCTGTAGGTGAAGCGCGACCCTCTCCGATTGTCCACTCTCAGCAGGTCTCCTCGCACATCGCTCTGAGAGGTGGAGGTCTCTGCAATTAAGAAACAAGATGCGTCAAATCTCAGAGACAGAAAAGCAAAGTGGATGTTTAACAGTGTTGCAATGCCTGCAATAAACTGTTGCTATCTGTGACCATTATCTTATGCAACTTCTGGTGCAGTGAGGATGATGAGCTCAGTAGGGTTTTTTTCAATTGCATCACATTATTTCAGGCATATTTCCTTTGTGGTTATTACTGCACGTATATTCAGCTCATCAGATTATGTTGTGATAGCATTCAGAGGAAGCTGCTCATTGTGAAGTTGTTCAGAGGACAGGTTTAATAATGCACACACTTACTTTTAATATGGCTGGCGAAAGAAACCATGAGATTCTCCATGGAACTTGTAAAAGGTTTGGAGTTTCTAAGATCCTGCAGATCAAAACACAGCATTTATTAGCGCTCAGTTTCTACATTTTAAACTTTTTACTGTGAAGTAATGCTGGAAATATGTCAGTGTTTTACCCCAGATCTGCTCAGGTAATGATAATCCATGTAGGGCGGAGGAGTGGGAGGCACCACTGATATATGGCTGTGGAAAATATCAGGAAAAAACACGTTTTTATTATTTAATGTTCATGCGTTTTCATTTAATGAATCAAGGCATTCAAAATAAACACATTGAGACTGCTCGTACCTCAGCACATTGTAGGTCCTCAGCAGTGTTTCTCCGACCATCTCATATTTGTCTGCAATGAACATGAATATTATGAATGAACAGCACAAATGAGAGTCATTTACTCATCATCAAAGAGATGAGTGGAGGACGATAGTGACACTACATATGACTTCCCTGTGACTGCTGAAACAGCCTGAGAGTCATAAAACACTCTCTGTTATGTAAACATTAATAAACAAAAGACAATATTTCAATATTATATGACATTTGCCTATGATTTACACACACACACACATACACACACACACACACAACATAATTTGTATAAATATTACCCCTCTGCCTCTTGTAATACATCACCATCCTGTAAGTACTCAATAATTAAGTAAAACCCCACCTATAAAGCAAACAGCTCAAACAAACACAACCCAGCTTATCCATATTTTATCAATCAGTGTAGTTAAACTGGAAGATATCAAGGGCGCATCAATAATTAATAACTATGAATTTACAAAAAGGAAACCATGTGTGAAAACATGTTGTACTGTAAACACACCTGTGGTGACCGGAAATCTCTTTGCCTTCTCCTCTAAGAACCACTCTCCAGACCTGATCTTCACCTCCCTGTGATGGAGACACAAACAAACATACAGTTACATGATGACATTATTAGCACTCATACGTATTCATACTGAAAAAGAAGAGCAGACAGTACATTTATTCTTACAACATCATTATTTTTAGGTCATGGTATTCTTCTTTCTTCCTATTTTACTAGTTTGATTTTTAGTAGAGATTAAGTATTTTGTGTCTTGTGGTTTCAAACTTGACAACATAAATGTTATAAATGGGTCCCTCTGTAGCAGACAGGAAGTAAACATGGACCAAAGCTGTTTGCCTAGCAACAGAATAGCACAAAGGTCTCTTTTCTGCAATCACGCTCTCTTTATAGCTCCATTTTTGGTCTCCACCACAGAAATAGAATAGCAGTCATTGACTGTCATTCTATTTTTGCTGTCTTGAACCTAGTCGAGGCAGAAGCTGTGGCACACTCAGTTTTTAAGCTGGCAAGAAGATAGTGGTATCTTGTGAAACTAGACAACCTAAAGCATCTATTGGTGCCAACCAATTTTGGCGAGGGAATAACTGACGTCTATTTTTAAAGGGGTCTCAAGAACTCTCACCCCCAGATATCTTAATGAAAATGGGTTCTATAGCCACAAATCTAACTTAAACTTGAGAAGGCTTGTTCCACGTAGATGTTTTGCTCCTTACAATCAACATACTCTTTTAAATTAAAGCTATATATTTGTCTTTTTAAGGAAAAGGACAACCAGCCTATCTGAAGAACAATGAACACATACATAATACATGAAATCAGGATCGCTGTGGAACTCCAAATGTTACCTGTACTGGTCTATGCACATCAGATAATTAGTAACATTAACTGTTAATAGTGTACAGTGGGTTTTTATGCCGAAAACAGCTGGCTGAAAATGACACTATGAGAGCCGTTTGACTCAACCAAAAAATAAAGTCGCAGCCCGGACAGCTGAACGACAAGCTACAACTAAGGATCATAAAGAGCGACTTCTTTCGCATTGTCATTTAATACATTGTTATCATAGAAATATTAATTTTAGACACGTTAAAGGGGAAGTTTAAAGGGGAAAATAAGAGTCATTATAAAATATCTGGTAATAGATTTAAACAAAATTAAAGCCAGAGCGTGAGTTTCAGAATTCAACTAAACATACATACGGTCATGTTCTGCTGTGATCTGAGCATAGGATGTGTGACTCTCTATACCGCACCTGTAGGCATGGCAGACCGTGCACTTCCAGTTCGCCGCTCCCACGCACACACGGCACTTGCTGCAGATCCGGTGGCTACAGCCACGGCAGACTGCGCCCGAGTTCCAGAGCTTTCCCAGCGGCCTCTGGCAGCGGGCGCAGGTCCGCTCGCCGTACTGTCGGGTGGAGCTCTTGGCACCTCTACGACGAAGCTCCTGGAGCTCATGTTTCATCCTCCTGAGACAAAAATAGAGGATAAAAGACATCTTTAGGCAATTTACACGGAGAAGACTGTCACAATTAACATCCTTTTTTAATCATTTAAAATTCAGATTATAAAATATACTAAAAGAAACAGAAGAAGCAAAAATGAGAACACCAAACCTTTTTTCCTGACATTTTTATTGCGTTCTGTTAACCTCATTTGTCACTGCTCTCATGATGACAGCCTCCTGTCAGCATCAGTAAAAAGTCTCTATGACAGTAAATATGAAAAGTGTTCATAAATGACTCACCTTATCCTGTCGTCTTCTATGGCACGCAGCTGCTTGTCTCTTCGAAGAACCTCCAGGACTCGTTCTCTCTCCAGAGTTTGAAGCAAACTTAAATCCATCTTTGAATAGTCGTCTTTGATCATGTGTATCAGTCACCTCTTCTGTCTGTCTGTCTCTGCCTCACTGTCTTTTGTTTTGTTCCTGTCTCCTCCTCCGCTCCTCTTGTACCCTCCCCCTTACTGGAAACAGACCTCCTCCTTCAGTCCTCTGCAGCTGATAGAGCAGTGAGATAGTAAAGGTTATTCTACAGTATGTGCTGCTGGTGAAATCCCCACATCTCCTGATTGTGATCTCCACGCAGTCCCAGTCCACGTCAGAGCCAGATAGAGCCCTCCTGAGCAGACAGTTGTAGTGTTTCTACTTGGATGATTAAACTGTGGAAAACCCTCCTTTAATATTCTTTTCTCTAAAGGCAAACGAAGAACCTGATGACGCAGATAGTTTGTCACCAAGAGTAACCCTCCTCAACACAGGATCAGATAAGATTTGAAACAAACGATATCTAAGGCTCTAAATCCTGATTTTCTCACACTGCTCATGTCCTCATCTCCTCCTGTGTCAGGTATTTTTTTTTTTTTGACCCATTACTCAACCTCTCTGCTGGCAAACCACCAGCGCTTCCTCAGCTGCAGGAAGAGCAGTGATGCTTCACTGATGTCAGAGCTGCAAAACAAACCAAATGCCAACCCTTGCATTATTGATGGCTGACGTGCGTCTGTGTTCTACTTTCCTTTTTTTTTTTTCTTTTGCAGGTCAGTAGACATTTTCAAATCTTAGTCAAACGGATAAAAATGAATTTCATGAAGACAGTCATCACCTGAAGGTTAACATCTCTATAAATTAACATTAGAGGTTTGTTTTGTATAATGAAGACACAGACTGAAATGCTTTATTTTAGAGGTACAGTTTGATATTTTGGGAAATACGCTCATTTGCTTTCTTACCAAGTAAGAAGACTAACACGACTCTCGTGGCAAATAAGAAGCCACAGCCAGCAGCTGGTTAGCTTAGCTTAGCACAGTGACTGTAAGATGGCAGAAACAGCTAACCTCGGTCTGTCCGAAGGTGACAAAATGCGAGGCCTGGGACACATGCTGCGCCTTTTAACACCTAGAAATGTGAGGTTGGGCGCTGGGTGCTACTCTTGTGCCATTTTCAAGGGTGCAGAGGAAGGTTGTGCTCCTAGACTGTACAAATAATGAACGTAGCGACTGTGAAGTCACCCACTGGTTTATGGGCTGCCATTTGGGGGCCTTGAGTTTGGCATTTTGGCCGTCGCCATTTTGAAATTTTTGGAAACGGAAGTGACCATATTAGGACGAGAGGTTGGTGCTGTAGAGGAGCGCGAGGTGGATCTGACTGAGAAGCTGAGGACACTATCAACAGACAGCCTGTCACTCAGAGCAGCCTTGCCTGTAATTATGTGTAAGTTTAAGCCGACATTAAATGTAAACATGTGAGTTATATAAAAAATTCACCCCCCAAAAGTTGCCATGAATGTTGAAATTAGCTACAGAGACCAAAACCGTTTTTTGTACCAGGCTGTAAACATGTTTATTTCTGCTGTAAAGTTGGACATTTTAACATGGGGGTCTATGGGGATTGACTCGCTTCTGGAGCCAGCCTCAAGTGGCCAGTACATGAACTGCGTTTTTTGTCACTTCCGTGTCACTTTCGTTTTTCAGCCTCGGATGGTGCCGCTTGGTTGTGCCTGATGTTGCTAAGCAGCAGTTATCAGTTCCGAGCTGTTTGGAGGCAATGTTTTTTAAGTACATGTTAAAATATTGTCTGTGGGACAGATAAAGCTCCGGGTCGCCCTGCATTGAAATGACCACTTTCTTCTTCATATTGTCTACACACTGATAATAAAGGAAGAAAGGAAAGATGCCTGTCAGCTGTGATTGGTTGTTCCTAGTCACATGACATGCACAGTGTGTTGCTATATTCCAAAAGTTGAAATTTCCCTGCATTTATGTAGTGTGTCAGAATAACTGGCCCGACTGGCCAAATTGACATGAACGGCTCCCAGAAACTCAAAACAACAACTCAGAAAGTCAATGAAAATCTGGTACAGGTTGCTGAGTTGACGTCATATATCCAGAAACATGGTGGATGAAATTAAATGTTCAGTCGATGGTAAAAACCATTTCATTAATTTACATATTGTATGTCGATGTTTTGCTCACGTGTAATTTGTAGATGGTTGTAACCATTAGAAAAGTTATCATTAGCATTAACCAGGCAAAGCAATATTTAATCATTTTGGCAACCTTTACTAATGAAAGAGCCATTACTGCCCCCCCCAAGTCAAAATGCAAAACATATTTGAAAAAAGGTAACAGCCTATTAAGTCTAAATTAGCAAATCAAAATTACAAATAGAACTAAATGAGCATTCATTAATATGATTTACTACAATGTGGCTCCTCTGCAGTGGGCTATTTATATTTACTTAGTACTTTAACTTTGCAGTCTTGGTGGTGATAGCAAATGAATCTGCCCACACATTATTAATCCTCTATTTCCCTCCAAGACTTTTGCTTTTTTGGATTTGGAGCCCATAGCTAGCCTTGCTAGACAGACTCCAGGTTAGCCACTGCTACTGAAGTTGAGCAATATTTAGCGGAAAAGCACCAGGTTGTTGACATATAACGCACATTTTAGCTGATGAAACTTTTAAACATATTTTAATACAGTGTATAGGCTACACATTTTTACAGTTGTAGAATGCAATAAACACTTTGGGGCTGGCAATAATGACAAATTAAAACCTGAATGTTAAAAAATAACCGTTAACCAAGGGTCTAAAGAGCTGCATGCAGCTCCGGAGCTGCAGGTTTCAGGGGATGTACTGGTGCTCAACAAGTCTGTGACAAAATCCCCTTTGATATATAAAGCTTCAATCTGATATCAACATGTTGTTTAAAAACTCTGAGCAATAAAATACAACATATCTTCTTTGTAATGTCCATCTTGTTTCCACATTACGACTTCAAGCTCATGAACACATCAAACTCGAAATAACAACCTGCCAACTCGGACAGAGGGTTCATCTGAGGAGCATGTGAATACAGCAGTGGTTTATATCAGGGTGCAGCTGTCACACCTTAAAAAATAGTTGAGGGTGCAAAAAAACGTGACGTGTCCAGGCCCTTAGAAACTTGTATCTGGTTTGTTTAGTCTGAAACGGATCTTGAAACTGGAACGTGGTGCACCTATCAGATTTTGTTACCAATAGACAGAGTCAAGCTAGCTGTTTCCCTCTGTTTCCAGTCTTTGTGCTAAGCTAAGCTAGCCCGCAGATGGTTAGCTTAGCTTAGCACAGAGACTGGAAACAGGGGGAAACAGCTAGCCTACCTTGGTTATATTGACCTTACTGGTATCCCTGCGACCCCTAACAGGATAAACAGTTACGGAAAATGAATGAATGAACTTATTGGCATTGCAGAATTTATTGCAGTGTCATGTGCCAAGCTGAGCTAAGTGGCTATAGCTTTGTTTCAATTTATCCTACAGACACATGGTATTGATCTTCTCATTTCACTCCTGGCAAGAAAGTGAGTAAGTGTATTTTCCAAAATGTCAAGCTCTCGTTTATTTAATTACAGGGTTTCATTTTTCAAACATCTCAATTTGGAGCAAAACCTCTTTCCCCTTCAGCAGCAGATGAGTGACGCATGGTGCACGGAGAGGAAGTGGCCTGTTGAATAGCTGGATGGCAGCCTGGGTTGGTAGATAAGAGCCTGTCATTGTTACTATCCAGAGCTGCCGGGAGGCCGGAGAAAACAATCAGTGTCAGCTGTAATTAGGCCCCATGGCTCACACAGAGGGATACAGCTGTTATCTGTCCTCTGCTGACATGCACCATGCCTGAAGGGATTCTCTCAAGTTGTAAATATAAATGAGGCAAGATGTGAAACATGCAACAAGAGGAAGGTTGTGATCTCCTCAGTGTTTGTGTGTGATGTGAGTCCTTATTTGTAGCTCTCAGTATGACACTTTGACAGGGGCTTCAGCGTGTACATGGGATGATCACCATCACGTCAATGCAAGTCATTTCACACTCGTTTCTACTATGCAGAGGACAATAATGATTCAGTTTGGTGGTCCGTGGTTTGGTGGTGACTGTGAGCTGACATCCGAGAAGAGATGGTGGGAGCCCATGTCAGCCCACCACAGCAGTGACAGTAAAGGACACCTGACTGATTACACCCAGACCCAAATACGGTGTCTGAGAGCCGTGAGAAAGACAAAGCCAGTCACAAGGTCTGTTGTGTGTTTCCTACCCAGAGCGACACTTCTTGGAAGACTTGTGTAAGCGACTGCATACCTTGAGTCAGCTCTGGCAGCATGTCTGCTCTCACAGCCAGACTCATCACCACAAGTAAATTCCAAATAAAAACCAAGCGGCTGTCACAGCCACGCTCATCCACCACAAGCACCGACACTGAGGGTCCATTATTTTAGAAAGAATGACCTGTTCTTCCAAAGCGTGATGAGGTCACATGAACCCTGTTATGAAAGCGACTCAAAATACCTTGCAGGAATTCATCTGCGTGGTGCTGACATCTGTATTTTTAAAACCGTGCAGTTGGGTTTCGGAGTAGTTTTCAGCAGCTCATCTTTATGTTGTTTGTTTTACAGTAACTTAATTAAATTCCATGTTAAAAATAGGAACAGCAAAGTTGGGGTTAAAAAGTCGCTCAAACTGCACCAGTGCACCAGCTTTTGCAACATTCACACAACACCTAAAGTAAAAAAGCAAACAATTATTAAACAGATGAACCAAAACTGAAATTTTCTTCAGCATGCACAGATTTATACTGTACTGTGCCTCTGTCAACACGTGACACAAGAATGCAGAATATCAAACACCTCACACCAGACAGGTCAAGAATACTAAAAAGCACAGAACAGGAAATTTCCACACATGCAGAGTATTCACAGACTTGCAGCAATCTCTGTGGATTTCCCCCCCAACGATGACTACACTATGAGCTGCCATTACAAAACATTTACTCATCACCACCCTTTTGTTGCTAAATCTCAACTGAGATATTAATTCTTTGACGACGACAGGAAAGGAAGCTCGTGTTTGTGACCTGAGAACAAGGTCACTGCAGAGAGATAAAGATGTGCAGAGCGGTAATCTGCAAGATCTTACCTTCAGGCTCTCTGCAACGCCGGAGTGGTCAGCCCGAGGAAGTGGCAGATTTTATACACAACGAGAAACACACACAGAGCTCAGTTTCCTTCCTTTTCTGAGTTTGCACACACTGTTGCAATCTGGAGAGGGCACACAGAGCAGCTGGTGGTATCACAGTTTCTTCGAGGTGTGATGCCGTGTGCAGAAAGTTTCTTTCATGGGCACGTAATAAAGAGTACAAGTCACAGGGTCAGTGTAGAAGAGTTTTTATATGAAATTGTGTGTTTGAAAAAAAAAGCTGTAATACATGTTGAACTTTTCTTATTTTCCACAAACTACCTGCTGACTTCCAGACAGCTGCTGTGAAGAGCAGACATAAAAAGACTTAAATTGTGTTGATCCCAGAAATAATTTCAACTGAAAAGACACACACACACACACACACACACACACACACACACAGATGGATTACTCGATGGGACTACTGGGCTGCAGTTTTTCAACAGACAGCTGCACCTGACACTTCTGCTTCACCTGCAGAAAGTCACTCAAAACAGAACGACCACGAAGAGATGCAAAGCTACCAGAAAAGCCAGTAGCTACAGAGAGACACAGAATTACTAAAAAGAGATGCAAATTCACAAGGAGATACAAGACGCCTCCACAGATGCAAAACATTAGACACAAAATGACGATAAAATACTTAAGACTACAATGAAGAGATATGAAGCAAAGAGACAAACAGTGACAACAAAGAGAAAACAAAATGACTACAAGGAGATGCAAATTGACAAGGAGATGTGAAGCGCCTCCAGAGATGCAAAACAAGAAAGACACAAAACTATGACAAAAGAGACACAAGACAATCATGAAGAGCTGCAAAATGAACACAAAAGACGTAAAACAAACACAAGTGGATGCAAAATGACCACAAAGCGACTCGAAAGAACTTCAAAGAGATGCACCTACAAAGATGCAAACCCACAGAGACACAAAATGATGATAAAAGAAAGGCAAAACGACCATAAGGTCAGATGAAAAGCTCCAAGACAGACAATGCACATGGCTACAAAGAGACGAAAACTGACAACAAAGAGAAAACAGAATGACTACAAAGAGATGCAAAACGCCTCCAAAGATGCAAAGACACAAAACTACGATAAAAGAGACACAGGACAATCATGAAGAGATTCAAAATGACCAGAAAAGACGTTCATGGCTACGAAAAGAGAAAAAAACTACTACAGAACGATGCAAAACAAACACAAAGGGTCAAAAAATAACAACAAAGGGGCTTAAAAGAACTTCAGAGAAGATGCAAAACATTAGACACAAAACTACAATAAAAGAGACACAAGACAATCATACAGAGAGACACAAATAGAGAAAACTACAACAAAGAGATGCAAAATGCAACCAGAGATGTAAAACTACAGAGTGATGCTAAATGAACACAAAAAGATGTAAAACAAACACAAATAGATGCAAAACGACTACGAAGAGTCACAAAATGACGACAAAGGGGCTAAAACAACTTCAAAGTAATGCAAAACATTAGACACAAAACTACGATAAAAGACACACAGGACAATCATAGAGATGCAAAATGACCACAAAAAGACTGAAATAGCTACAAAGTGAGAAAACTTCTACAGAGAGACGCTAAATTAACACAAATAGATGCAAAATGACTGCATAGAGTCACAAAATGACAACAAAGGGGCTAGAAAGAACTTCAAAGAGATGCAAAATGACCACAAAAAGACATAAACTACAACAAAGAGATGCAAAATGCAACCAGAGATGTAATACAACTAGAGAGAGATGCTAAATGAACACAAAAAGACGTGAAACAAACACAAATAGATGCAAAGCTACTACAAAGAGTCACAAAATGACAACAAAGGGGCTGGAAAAACTTCAAATAAGATGCAAAATAACCACAGAAAGACACAAAACAACTTTAAAATGAACTGCTTTCAGTTTGTGTGGTGCTTCTACAATACGTAGTACAGCTGTAACTAATTATATTTTCACGGTCTATTAATTTGCTGATTATTTCCTTGATTAATCAATTACTACATTGGTCTATAAAATGTCAGAAGATGGTGAAAAATGTCTCTGAGTGTTTCCCAAAGTCCCAGATGACGTCCTCAGTTTACTTTCACAGAGGAGTAAAGACACCAGATAATATTTACATTTCAGAGGCTGGATACACAGAGTTTTAACTTCCTTTTACTCAAACGGATTCATCGATTCGTTGGCCATTCTTTTAACTGGCAGCTAACTGATAGTGTTGCAGCTCTACTGTGTAAGGGAAGTGGGATCTGTTTACTGTCTGTGGTTCAGAGTTGTCCCATAATCCATCCACGCACACATGCACGCACACACACACACGCATGCACACGCACGCACGCACGCACACGCACACGCACACACACACACACACACACACACACACACACACACAGACACTCAAGAATTGAAAACTTATTTCCTAAATGTCATCAACCAAACCAAAAATTTACAAAACACTAAAACCACTGTTCAGCAAAACTGATTCTTTCCTTAAATTCTCACGTCGAGTGTTTTTTCTGGCTCCTGCAGCCGGCTCTCCAGATGTGAGGCAGCGGACACAAACGTTTCCAGATTGTCATGTGTTTCTTGAAGTGCCTCTGCCAATAAAAGCAACTGCAGTATAAATAGATTCTTCTTCCATCAATAAATGTTTCTTTTCCCTTTTATTTTGTTCCCATCCGAGGAAATGCTTTGGAGCCACTCAGCAGACGTGACGGCGTCTTTGGAGCTCCGGAGCCTCGTTTACAAAAATGCCCTGTGAATGTTCTCTATAAAATCATTTATAAAAACATCATCAAAAACAAATATACAGCTATCACACATTGATTTGAGGGGGAATGAGAAATATCATAAAAAAAAGTGGATGGAACTTGAAGTTGGGAGCAATTTGTTTTGAACACATCGTTAACTGTGTCCACGTGGACAGAGGCCTGCTGTGCAGACCAATATGGCTTCCTATTGGGTTTAATAATGTCTCTGATGTTAAGCAGTCTGTAGAAAAGTCTTGAGTTGTAGCGTCTCTTCCACTGATATCCTGTCATGGTAGAAGCTGAGTCCGCTCAGGTGCTCGATGTCTCGGACTCGCGCCGTGTGGAACTTCATCCAATCCTCCACCCACGACAAGTCCGACCCACTCTGAAGGGAGAAGGGAGAGGAGACAGAGAAAAGAGGAACAAAGAAAATGTGTTAATCTGTTCATTTTTTTCTCCACTGTGATCTGTCAGCAGGTTTCGACGCAGGTAGGCTGACGTGCAAACGAGCAGGAGAGGAGTCAGCAGTGTTACTCACAGGGCAGCTCTCCGTGTGGTCAGGCCTGTTGGGCAGGATGAAGGACCTGGCTTGCAGCGGACCCTCGCAGTTAACAGGGCTGAAGGTCGAGTTCCCACAGCTGGTCAGGATCAGGAAGAAATGTGTCGGGATGGGAGCTTCGTTCCTGGACAAACATGAGATCACAGGGTTTTAGAAACTGCCGCCTCCTTTCTATAAAGCTCTCCTTTTAACTTATGTTTACAGAGAAAAGGAACTTAACACTTATAAAGCCTACAATGAGGAGGACACTACTCCCAGTCTCAAACAATTTACCTGCTAGAGCCAACACAAAGTATCTTTATAAAACACTATTTATTAAGAGATTAATACTCAACCCTCAGATAATCTCTTCATACAGACTGTGTGGGTGTCGTCTCAGATTTGGTGTGGTTGCTAAATCCTGGTATGTGCAGAGAAAAACAAAACTAGAGACAATGTTGTGATGGGATCACAGTGATCCAGCCAGGGACGTAAAGTGGAGGGCCAGTGGCTCCTTCCCTACTTCCTATTTCCCTATACGAATTTACGATTGCTAGGATAGTGCAAGGCTAATCAGCGAAGGCAGGGACACACTCTTTGACACCATGGAAGCTATAGGGTATGACATATGAGCAATGTAACTGGAGCTGCTGATTTTGGAGGGTTACAGCAGTTGGTACTAGAAATAAAGGAACGGTGTCTGTTCAGGTGCTCATTAGGTGCAGTCTTGGCCTGACAGAACTTTTGAGTATGCGCGAATTGTGGCTGATAACAACAGAATGCTTGCATACAGGAAGCATTTGTTTATGGTCTTTTATTACAGACTTTTTTTAACTAAAGAATGATAATTCTCACCCATATCTTTACTTAACATACGAAAAAATATTCCAGCCCAAAGCCAACTGCGGACGCCTCAGTGAAACGAATCAATCATCCTCTACGTTCTCTGACAGTGCGCCACTGATTGAGCCTTTCAGGAAGTGCAGACTAGATTTAACAGTGCATGTGTTGTATCCTACCGGTATGAAGTGATATGATGCCATGCTTCCCCTCTTTTTTACCTCCTTGGGATGGTGAAGGCATGACCGACCCTACTCTCCTGCTGATTGGGCGAAAGTAGTGGGATTGGTTAGGGTAAGAGTGTCAGGGTAAGCCAAACACAGGCAGAGTGAGGCAGAGTAGGGCAGGTTATGCCCTCACCATCCTAGGAAACACAAATTGCCCCCTCTACTCCCAGTGTCCTTGCTTGGACCACAACCATCTTAAAACTCGGCCTTTATCCTCATCTCAACCACAAACCTGTGAAGTTCTCATGACTGCATCTTGCATGGTAACGCTATCGCTACGACAAATCTGTCAACAAACACACACACACACACACTTGAAACAGCTTCTGTGGTTGGTCTTGCTACAGTAGGTGCCACCAGGACCACATTTTGCCATGACGACACACACACACACACACACACACACACTGACTCACAAGGTGAAAATAATACCAGCCGTTGTGACACTGTTGTGGCTGGTAAAAATACAGAAATCTCTCGTGTGAATTAACCTGAAACTTATGCAACTTAGTCAGAAAACTGTTCATGTATGAAGTCATTGCTCACTGTAAGAAGACGATTGAGAAAGGTTCTAACAATTGTCAGTTACTGGTAAACAGTATCACCAGTTAAAGTGAGAGCCAACCCCAGATTTACTCTGTTTTGGAACAAGCTTTGTCCGCTTGGCGTTTCACCTCACTATATTTCTGTATTTTTTCAGCGCTGTGTCAGGGATTGGCACCTGGTCACTATTTCTTTGTAAAGTTCTGACCTCACCTGCAAGCCGGCACAGGAATGTCCCGAACGCAATAAGACGAAAATAAGAAAATGCAGGCAGAGGGCAGAGTCTCTGCAGATAAATACACCATTGGAGTGTGGAATCAATCAGTGTGTGGTGTGTAAAAGAAGCATAAATACTTAAAGACCTCAAATTTTGATAACTTAAGACACTGCAAAACAAAATTCAGAGTATTTTGACAATAAATTGCATCTGTTTTATGCATGTTGCATCTGTGGATACCTATTTACGAAGACAATGCACATTCCTCTATAATCCATGTTGGAAGGTCTCTAACAAAATGAATTCAAACCTATATTGCTCACTTATTATTTTAAGGACAACTGATTGAAAAGCTGGAACAATCAGTTGATTAACAGGGAATTAACTATTGTTAAATACTATTGTTTTAGTCATTTTTTTAAGCAAATTAATTGACAAAGTGTGCATCTCTGACTTACCCTGTAGGTGCTTCGAGTGCATCAACATTTCCATCGTAGTCCTTATCAAATATCGGCCCACTGATGACGTTGACTCCGTTCAGCTGTTGTGAATATTTTGGAAGCAGGACATCATGGACGTGGGTCCAAACATCTGTGGTTGAGAATAATACACATAAGAACTTTTAAGTTCTCCAAAAAATACACCACTGATACTGTGGTTTATAGAGAGAAGTGAGTGATTACATCATTACAAGTTAAATTTGAAAGGAATAACCCACCCACCAGCACCTCTGAAGTTCAGTAATTAACAAGTTCTATCTTGGTATGTATGTGTTATTGATGTGCTGACTGCCCTACAAAGGCAAACTGCTGTAACTACAGGTTTGGTCAAAACTGAGTTATGACAGATGAAGCCTTTGGATATCCGTTCTGTCTTGTGACAAAATTTCCTGCTTCAATCCACGGAAAATATAAAAGAACCTAAGGTCATGGCATCAGTGACAATGTCTTGAATTTTCCACTGGAGCCAGAGTTTGGTGGTAACCCCTGTCGTCTCCCATATAATGATGGGCAGAGCCATGATCTGTCTGGAGCCCAATAACAAGGAAAACAAACGCACACACTGAAATAAAAAATGCAAGTTAACATCACTTAATGTGAATTTTTTAATCTGATGGAAGGATTTTTCAGTCACAGTTGAAACAATGAAGATATAAGTTATAGTGTGAAGTGCCCCGCCCCACTGACTTCAGTAGAACTGACACCAAAGCCTGGCTCTTCGAACGCTGTTACTGACATCATGACCTTTCCTTTTTTTATATTTTCATTGGTTTTCCAGAGATATTAGGGTGTAAAAATTGTAGTAACTACAAAATCAAGCCAAAACCCAAGGCAAACTGCAGTGAATGTAGATACTGTGCTCTGCTTTGGGTTCCAAGAGATCTGGGATTCTGTCGGGGCCTAGGAAAACTGCCTTAAACTTTTTACGGTGGATGGTGAACGTGAAAATGAAACAAAATATTTGATAATCAGCAATGAAGATGATGATGATGTAAGATAATCTCAATTTAGATGAAGTAAATAACAACAAAATAATACTTGAGGGTTATTACTTTACAACAGACATCTATTAATGAAACAAATACAAACTGAATCTAGTGAGAAAAGAAAACATTTTTCCTCATATTGAAAAATATATGACACTTAAATTGTGGTAACTGCAGTTTACTTTTGCATAACCTACATAACTATTTAGGGTAATACAAAGGCAGTACTGTACCTACAAACCTAGTGCATTTTTGGGGTCACAGGTCACATCACTGATAATGTTTTTAGGCATAAAAATGACTTTATGAATACCTATTTAACAAGTGCATTATCACTTTTATACATATGACACATTTGGCTGGGCAGTCAAAAACTTTGAGGTGATTTATCTCAGTTTCAGTGTTAGTGTAGTTACTGTGGTTAGCCTTTGTGGGGCAGTATTATGTAAGGAATATTTATTAATTTTATCATGCCAATTTATGTAATATGTTTTTATTGCTTTGTTTTAGTCAATAAACTAACCTACAGGTTCACACAGTGTAGAAACACAGATAAGCCACCAGGGGGCAGCATCTATAAGCTGATTAATCCATATACGCTTCAAACAAACACACAGTATTTGGATGGGGGTTTCCTTCCAGTGGGACCTCATCTTACTTTACTACTAGGAGAGAGTTTCCATTTATAGTGTGGGTGGTCCCAGTGGAAACCCGACCAAAGCTACATTTTCTGCAACACTCAGCTTTTCAATACATTAATCACCCACCACAATCAACAAGTTTCAACAAAGGCATGCCTCATCTGTGCATCACAGCATAGAGTCACCAAATGCAGCCACACACCCAAATATTTTCACCTCTGACCCAGGTGGTTTTGCAATGCTGTGTAGTGCTGTGAGTGCAGACTTACTCCTCAGCAGAATTAAGCAACACATCTGGGCAAAAGAACAAAAATTAAGAGAATAAACAAACACTTATCCGATGTATAACAAAGATTACTTAACACACAAAGACTCGTTTCATGTGTGGTCCCATCCACTGTCTCTTTAGAGCACTGTGTGGTGGATCAGACGGTAAAATGAATGTTATTGTGAATAAAACTGTGGTGTCTACAGAAGGATGGCAGGAGGATTAACTCTGGAGAAGGTCCACCAACTAAACCTTTAATTGAGTTTAGAGAAAAGGGTTTAACTAAATTAAAGTACAGTAGTCCCATATAATCACAGCGGTTAGATCTTTGGGCTCCTGTTATGTGTATTTAAGAACCAAAAGTATAGCCTGTTTTTAGAAGAAAAAAGTATAATATTGAGCAATAAAAACAGCTCACAAGAACGGGCAAACCACAATACCTGCCCTTGGGAAAGTTGAGTGTTTTTACACACACAACAGAGCGTGACATAACGTCTAGTTGTGATCCAGAGTATCTCTTGAGTTCACTAGTTAATTAAACTGTTCGCCTCTCGCTCAGCTCAAAAGCTCTCATTCAGTTGTCGAGTGTGGAATTAAATTTTTAACTCATGCATCACCATGATTTGCAATTCCAGCTTTGGTTGCAGCCATAAAAACCAAGAGCCGATACATACTTGGACGAATGACTCACCTTTAAATGCAGGGAACATTGGTGCCATGTTGCTCGTGATTAGAGAGTCTGTCATGGGTCCGTTGGCACTCAGATCTATAGAGAGAAAATGACAAGTGAGGAAAAACTTAATGTGTTTGGAATTTGGGTATAAACACAAACTGCATGTTGTAAAAGTCTGATGTGTGCTGTGAAAAGAGGGAATAAAGATGGACTAAAAACTAATCTTCACATGTTGGTGGAGCTAAACACAAAGAGGTAAAGTCATTTATGGCTGCAATTAGATGATTAGATGATGTTGTCTCACCAACAAATAAACTCAAAATATTCAATTTACAATAATGTAAAAGTAAGAAAATATGCAAATGCACATGATACAGACACTGGAATTAGAAAAGAAAGGGCTTTTTTTGCTTGAAAAATGATTAATCACCTGTCAAAATAGCTGCAGATTAATTTTCTGATGACAGATTAATTGGTTAATCAACTAATTGTTAAGCTCCAAAGTTTTTCAACTGCACAACCTTTCAACCAGAGCCACGAGGAAAATAAAACCACTCAATTTGGTGAGTCCACCTTTGTCACAGCTGTTGGGGAGTGTCTACTTCTCTTTTTCATTCTGTCACTTTCCTTTCTGGAGCTACCTGACACCTGAATCTCATTAAAAATGCAGTGAATACACTTCGTCTCTATTAGGAGGGGGGACACTCTTTGCCATTGCACACTAAAAGCACGGGTGCATTTTAACATGAGAATGTGGCTCTGAAACATGTCAGCTTGAATTCAACACCCGGCTGGGGATGGCATGCTGTGACTCCCTCCACCACATACATACATACATACACACTCGCTAACACACACACACACACACACACACACACACACTCACTTGGGGGATGCAGCAGGCCGAAGGACAGAGTGGGGTCACTTCTGTAGCGCAGACACAGCTGGCTGTTGGCCGGTGGGATGCGTACGTCAGCACGAACACACTCCTCCGCCTCTGGGCTCAGGGTTTGGATTTTGGTCTGAGAGAGAAGATCAGTCAGTTGTCAGTGAGTGAGTATTGTGTAAGATCACTTGGCTTGGGTTTGCGTCGCCCGCGTATATGGGTCAGCGAGGGCACTGCACTGTTTCTGTTTGCAGAGCACTCGAAAAATTTGCTCACTCCCCTCCCCCCTTGTAGCAACACTTTATTGTAGGGCTCCTCTCTTCCAAATAATTTTCCTTATAAGGTTGAAGTTTGGTTAAACTGTTAAACTTCCAATTAATTAATTCCAATCATCTGAGCATTTAAATGAGCTCTATACAACATTCAGAGCATTCACATAGCAGCAAACACCTATTTGCTACATAAAGATATAGTGGAGTAATGGTTTCCTGAGCAGAGAATGAAGCCACACTCCCTCTGTGTGTATGTGCTGTAATCATAGCTTCTCTGTTTGTTGTTGTGTTGACAGCCCAGCTGCGCGTGCATCTAAATCTCTGTGTGTTTCTGTGTGTGTATCCCACTGGCTGGCTAACCACTGCCGCTCTGCACCGGTGTTTACCACTGGTATTGGGGCAGTGGGGTTATTGAAGCATGGCGCTCCCCGTATGGTTCCCCCCAGGTTAACAATTTTAACTCTGTCAGCACGGTTGCTGTTTTTAGCCTTGTTCACACTGTTAGCACAGTTTGCTGCTGGCTGGCTCAGCTGCCTCCATGTTGAGAGCTGTGTGCAGACAAGACCTCCTCCTTTTACTCAGTGAACAACAAGTCAGATGAACAAGCAACAAATCTAAGTGTTTACAACTTGTAAGGCTGTACTTAGCAAGCTTAGCTCTTTAATCATTCTTTCATAACAAAAAATTAAAACAAACCAAAAAAAACAATGTATATGACTCATACTAAAGTAATCCCTCTCAATCATAACTTGTGACCCACTACAAGTGTGTGGCAGTGTATTTTTCTGCAGAGACTTTGCCCTCTCTCTGTATTTTCTTTGTTCAGGACATTCCTGGGCACAGTGAGCAGGTGAGGTCAAGACTTAATAAAAGTGTAACAACCAGCTGCCAGACCAAAGCAACCAAGAGGAAGCTACAAAAATAGCAGACACTGCTCCAAAGAAATGCAAATATAGTGAGGTGAAACACAGAGTGGATACAGCTAGGGTTGCCTTTCACTTCTGCAGGTGATACCGTTTACAGTGCCAAAATGCCTGCCTAGCATACTAAACTCAAAACACAAATATGAACTTCATGGTGGCACTAAATGGAAAAGTTGGGGGATCAGCAGAGTCATTAGGATTCATTCTCTAGGGACCATGAATGTCTGTAGAAAACATTCATGGCAATCCATCAAATAGTTTACTATGGACCAGTATCACCACTGACACTGCTAGCATGGCAAAAACTGCAAAATGTGTTAACAGTCAAGCATGAATTCTAAATCAGTGGGGATTACACCGTTCAGCCAAAACATTAAAACCACTGACTGCTAAAGTGAATGACACTGATCATTTTGTTACACTGCACGGTAGGCGCACTCTCTGATGGCAGTGTGCCCCACCAGACAGGACAATGCTCCATGCCACACCACAGAAACTGCTCAGGAATGGCCTGGGGGACATAACTAAGAGCTCAAGACCTCAACCTGGCCTCCAACTTCCCCAGATCCCAATCCAATTGAACATCCACTGGGCATGCTGGTACCTTACCTCACAACCTACAGGACTCAAAGGATCTGTCGACAATGCCTCAGTGCCAGACAACACAGGACACCCACAGAGGTCCTGTCTCCGTGCCTCGACAGGTCAGAGGCCCCACCGTAGATCGGACTTGGCTCTGGCCTGTCGAGGCCTGGACAAAGGACCTCTGGGGCACTGGTTTGTCCCATAGATGCTTGATCAGATTGGGATCTGGGGTATTTGAAAGCTAGATCAATGCCTTGGGCTATTTGTCATGTTCCTTGGAGCATTCCTGAGCAGTTTCTGCAGTTGGGGCATTGCCTTGCTGCGGGGACTACTGCCATCAGGAGTACTGTTGCAATGAGTGGGGGTACGTGCGTGAAGGGGCATCTGCATAAAGGCCAGACCCAAAGAATTCCCAGCAGAACATTGAATTGTAATGAAACCATCAGTGTTCTTCACTTCACCCCTTCAAAGGACCAGTGTGCAGGATTTGGGGGGATCTATTAGCAGAAATATTCTTAGTAATGTTTTCATCAGTGTATAATCACTTGAAACTGAGAATGATTTGTTTGTTAGCTTAGAATGAGCCATTTATATATCTACATGGGGAGTGGCTCCTCCTCATCAGAGCCTGCCAGGTTTCTATAATAGCCCAGGACAACATTGGACAAATCAAACACTGGCTCTAGAGAGGGCTTTTCATACTTTAGAATTACCTGAAGGCCTCTATAGATTCTCTGTCTTGCTTGGAAAGGGAGTGGAGCGGGTGGAGGTGTATTTAGTTAGTTACAATCTGCGACCTCAGTGCTTAATGCCACTAAATCCGACACAGTGCTCAGTTAAATGGAGCTTTTCTTTTGACATTTCCATTTTTCCTATAAAAAGTACCAGTACTACCTTTGTGAAAATATTAGAAAATTACAGATTGGTTCTGTCCCTGATTGCAGGCAGGAAAAAAGGATACAAAGCTATGCATATTTTCAAACACCCTGTAAGTACAAGAATAGAGATGTGCACTGTTCAGCAGCATGGCCTCATGCTTTCCATTGATTAATGGATTTTCTTGTGGGCAAACTAGCTTGAAGCTAGCTTTATATGGAGTTGTAAATTTGACAAGCTGTGAAATTGAAGTTTTCTGTGGGCGTACAAGTGGGCTGAGCGTAATACTGTATATTATGTTATGACTCATAAAAAAATAAAAAAATAAAATTCTATCAAGCCAAGATGAACATAAAGCCTGAATGAAAACAAATCCTCCGTAGCTCCATCATTCAGACAGAATAACACAACAGTGTAAACCCTCCCGGGAATGTATCACTCTGCCTGAAGTCATGATTTACACTAAAGCTCAACCGCATAATGAGAAAGACAAGAAATGTTTGAGCCAACATGAGCACAGAAGATGAGTAACAGCTGCTTAGAGAAGACATTTAGATACTAAACAACCTCTTACAATCTCCTGCCATACCCCAACCACAGAAGAAATACAGCCGGCACAGCTCAACTGTACAGGCTATGTTTAGAGATGAAAGACAGCTCCGAGCAGCAGACTCACCAGAGGCTGGATGGTGTACGATACCCACAGGGGCATGTGGCGGTCTTTGCTGTACCCGTTGAGGTAGTCCGATTGGTGGAGGAGACAAAAGGTTGCGTCTGGTTGGACGACCCGAGGGATGCCAAAGGGATGGTGGAGGCGACGTAAGCTGGCTTTAACACCTAAAAAGACAAAATGTATAAGAACCACATACTGTGTTTTCTGAATATCACCATAAATGCAAAGAAATATAAAAAGATACTCACTGGAATTAGTCGTCATGAGAGCTCTGTTCAAATCTATCTCCTGAAAAGAAACTGTTGTTAGTGTGCTTGTTGAACACATGAGAATGTACCACACTTTCGCCATTTAATATATGAAGACTGTGAATTTCAAAAGTTTCTGCACTTGTGTCAATTAATTTTTTTCTAAATACTGAAGTGTGGACTTATGAGCCACCAGAGCAATGGCACACCAAATTTCGTAGCAATCCATTTTAAAGACATTTTATTAAAATCACAAATACCAAACTCAAAGAAGCAGCAAAGTCTACAAGTAGGCCTCAATAACCTGTTAGCATGTACCTCTGCCTTGGTTTGGGATGCACAGGTGCACTGCAGTTCTTCAGCAGGAGCGGGGTCACTACCCTCACAGGGAGTGTCATGGGAGAGCTGAGCGGGGTGAACTGGCAGGTGGACAGGATGCTTCAGGAGGTGGTTCAGACTGCCGTGAGTCCCGTTGTTTGGAGCGGGACGAACACCGAGGAGATCTGGAGGAGAAAGAGAGAAAAAACTGTAACACACACTGGACGTACAGTAACGCAGCACATCAGCACATCTGATATTATAAGAAAATTTAAGGACAATTAACAACGTTAATGTCATAAATCCAGCCATCATTACTGACAGTTAAAATAACATCTTATTCCATGGGTTCATCAAACAGTAGAGATACAAGGATTCAGTGACACCAACACCAGTTGGGACAAGTACCTTAATGGCTCACACAGATTTCAAACTGCTATATTTAAAGGTCCAGTGTACAAGATTTAGGGGGATTTAGCGGCATCTAGTGGTGAGAATTGCAGACTGCAACTAGCTGACACTCGTCCTGGTTAGATTTCCCTCAGAGTTCATTGTTCAGGAGGTTTTTACCGGAAGCCAAATATTTAGTTCTCTTCCTCTCCAAAACAAACCTGTTTATTTCTGCTGTAAAGTCGAGCATTTCAACATGGGGTCTATGTGGACTGATGGGCTTCTGGAGCCAGCCTCAAGTGGTCATTCAAAGAACTGCAGTTTTTGTCACTTCCATGTTGGCTTAATTTTTCAGCCCCAGAGGTTGCTGCTTGTGGCCAACATGAAAACACAAATGTCTCTCTCTAGAACCAGTGTTCGGAGTATACCAATGTAGATATGAATGCCTCATTCTAAGATAACAAAATTACAATGATTACTATTTTTAGGTGATTGTACACTAAAGAAAACACATTTATTATATTTTATTCCATTTATGCCAATATATCCCCCTACACACTGGATCTTTAAGCTGAACAAAGAAAGAAAGTTGCCTTCACATGAGGTTTCTCTGTATCGTTCAGGGTGCTACCAGCCAGGAACAAATGCCCATCACACTCATATACAAGGCATTTTTCTTTTTAGTAGCAGTCCATATTTGAACCACATTACCTGAACAAATTATGTGGAGTGAAAAGGATGGTGAACAATGAACCTGCTGTTAACATTTGTACTCTCAGTGTCATATATGTTTTGTGTGTTTCTCTTTGGTTCAAACACCTGGGTTAAACTGGGGATCTTCATGTGAATATGTTAGTTCCTGTTTCTTCTGAAATATGGTTGATGTGGTTGCTCTTTATTTCCTGCAGTTAAATTTTTAGAGGCACCAAACAACTGAAATTCAGTGCTGGAGAAAAGCATCTGTTTCCTCTCCTGATCTGTGGTTAACAGTGTTGATGTATCTGTATCAGATGTGAGAGAAATGATAGCTACAGCTGAACCATGAAAATAAGGCCCAGGTTGTAACAGGACAACATTTTCCTTTCTTCCTCCTGCCAGCAGTGCAACCTCACATGATGACAAAACGTCAGGATATGAGATTTGTACTTTTCATCTAACTTCTTGGCAAGAAGGTGAATAAGCTTATGTATCGAAATGTTGAGTTATTCCTTTAGATACTAAAAGAAAAACATAAAGAGCAGATGGACAGAGGACAGGTCACTTACCACACATCAGGTTATATAGTTCAATGTTTTCAAAAGGAGGCACAACAGTGTTTTCTTTCAATCCTGGACCATAGCCGATGAAGATCGCCTATGAAAAGTAGTTACACATTAACACACTGACATTCATTAATTTTTTTTTTGGAGATGTATAGATACAAATGAGAGTGTACTGTGAACTATCCAAACAAAACAGCTTGTGCAATGGAAAGCTTCATTTAACCTCTGTCTGTAAACAGTATGTCAGTAATGTCAGTAAATATTTGTAATTACCTAAAACAGAGAAATGACCTTACATAACCTTGATGATATAAGTTATGGTTTTCAATTCTAGGACAGACATTGGTTGGGTGGGTTTGGGATATTTGCAGGTGAGTAAACTCTATTTCGAGCACACTTGACTCTGCTGTGTGAAGGCGCTTTTCTTAACTCACAGACCTTTTTTTAGAGAAGTAAGCAGTCTTGTAAGCTAATTATACCAGGTCAAATACCAGTGTAAACCACGTCCGGAAACATACACTGACGTGTTGTGATGACTAACATGAAGGTGGGCAGACACAGACACATGTCCAATTTAAACAAACTCATTCCAAGGCAGACAACATGTAGGCGGAGAGCAACTTCTCACTGCTAGTGTAATTACTGTAGTTGAATACAGTTGTAGAGCTACGCAGTATTTTTGTGTCTGTGCGTCATTTCACAGACAGTCATCTCACTTTGGTTTCATTCACAGCAAATACACAGATATCTTGCATTTAGGCTAACATATTGATTATCAAAACTAGCGACAACAACGGCCAATCAACGTATAACGTTTATGTTACCGCTGCACTCTAAGACTTAGTATAATAATAAATAAAATCCCTTAAAGTGTTAGTCATTTACTTCTCTGCTACTTTCTCTTGTCTGAGCCAAATGTTACTGAAGCTGAAACACTTGTTCTTGAGTAAAATATCTTCACGCTCTCTTATGTATCGCTGTTTTCTGGAAGATCAGTTGAACCCCAAAATCAAAAATACATATTTTCATGTTACCTGTAGTGCTATTTATCAGTCTAGATTGTTTTGGTCTGAGTTGCTGAGTGCTGGAGATATTGGCCGTAGCTTATGGTGCTCAAAGCGTTGAAAAAATACATTCGTAAAACTCATCAGCAAAGTCTCTTTCCAGAACATAAGACCCTGTTACTGAAGATAACCCACAGACCTTGTTGTGAGCAGTTTCATGTAGGAACTATTTTCTCTCTACCAAACTAGACCCAACAACCGTTTCACCACGCAGAGAGAAGCATGCATCTACTGCTAGCTCACCTAGCACCACTGAGCTAGCTAAGCTACATCTTGCACTGTCATAAGCAGAGACGAGAGAAGGCAGAGATCTCCATGGCCAATATCTCCAACACTCAGCAACTCTCACTATAGCAGTCTAGATTTAAAAACAGCACTACAGGTAAGAGGATTTTTTTTTATTATTTTGGGTTGAACTGTCCCTTTAAGCTCTGCATATTGCAACAACATCCTACAAGATAAGGATGAAAACTAGAAGAAGCTTTCAGGAGTCATCAGGCCTTCTGTCCTGCATTATGTTTTGTAATGTGAACGTGAGTTATCACACTTCCTGTTTTTTTTAACTGACCAGGATATCATGACAAACATTTATCATGGCGGATGAACACACTGATCTCTCCTTCCTCTGACCTGCATGTTGGTGAAGAGGTTATCTGATCCATGGAATCCGCCAGTGCAGTATTTGAGCTCTCTGCTGTTTCTGTTGAACAGAAAGAGTTAAAAGTTAAAATAAAGGCAAAGACGGAGAGGAATAAACATTGGAAGCCACAGTTCATCCCAAATAACCTCAATTTCAGGGTCAGGCAAGTTTATTTCTATATAACCTATAAAGAGCAAGTTGTCACACTGCGACTACATTAGTGGACCGATTGAATTCTTCAGCCTGAAACAATTTCCATGATTACATGGTTGCTATCCATCAAAGAAGCTGTACAACTACTCTCTAACATGCCATCCCTCATTCATTATAAATGATTGCTAACACTAATCACTGTGAATTCTTCAACTTCTGTGTGGCCAAACAAACATTTCTTTTATCGTAAGACATTTACATTCATTTCCATGACACCAACTGTACTATAATTCACACACAGTAAGACCGGCCAAGTCCTGACCAATTACTGAAATAGCTCTGGTATCTAGAACTGCATGTAAGCTAAATCGAGTCTTTCTTTATACTGTAAATCTGGTCTCTCAAGCATTGCAGTCTGATTCTGTGAAATGCAGTAACATTTTTTCATCATTGAAAGACATTTGACACATTACAGCAGCACTATGGCTACAGAAGTGCTACATATCGCAACATTTTAGTCCTTTACCAAGCTAAGGAACAGTCTTCATTTGTTATCGAACGTTGCCCTTTAATGTCAAGATTGACATGAAATTAAATGTACAGGTAGTTTTACATCATTCCTGCACTTAAAATTCTCCAATCAGCTCAAGGAATGTTACACAAAAATAACCAGTTATTTCAAATTAACATGCTTGGACACCATGCTGTGTTGTGTTTCTCCTGACTTGGCTTTGCTTTGCTTCACTTCACTTCACTTCACTTTAATGCCCCGTGACCAGGGTCAGTGACATTATTTAAAAGTTCTGTTCCCAGTCAATTAGGAAGCTTATTGTGTTGGCAAAGCCAGCCTCTTCACTGGCTAGCAAGTGGGAAACAGATTTTTCTATTATCTAGTGTAATAAACAATGAGCTCTTACTGACCTTATGTTTCAGTCCTTTTGGCTATCTTTATGCTACAGGAAGTGGTTTGGATAGGGTTCTTATATGCATTTTTGAGACCTTTCAAAAAGAACCAGAGGCAATGCGAATACGTGTAACAAAATAATATTAGCACAGGTCTGACTGATTTTGGAGACCCTATAGTTACTCCCTTCTCTTTGCCGATTTTCAACCAGCTTTGTATTAAAACAATGTGGGTAGTATGTGTACATGAACTGTAGTAAACTTCCCTCCACCTATCCAGTGCCTAGATATCCCTCCTCGCCCCCTTCAGTGAAACTCCGCTGGATGACATAATTTACATAATCCAGCGGAGTTTTGCTGGCTCTCAATTTGATGCTCGAACTACAGGCTGTACGTCCACAATTTTGTATTGCCTGCCACCCATGCTGCCACTGCGCACACAAAAAGCATAGAAGAGGCTCAAGAGCCAGACCCACCCCTCTCAAACTCTGACCGAAATCAGATCTAACAATGAAACTAGGCACTGTAATAGCGAGAATTTGTGAACAGGAAGTGGGCACCATAATGCTCCCTGCACAGCACAATCGGAGGCCAAAAAAACTGAGTTGCCTATCTCTCACCTCAAATGTATTCAGAAACATGTTTAAGCTTACTGTTTAACTTTAATACAAGATTGTTTGTTACCAGCCGGCCGCCATCGTTTCAAAAAGACGTCTTCGCAGTCACCCACGAGCGGGAGCGTTTACTGGTCTGGTGCGGCAGAAAAACCTCTGCTTGATATTATATAAGATTTAATGTTGGGTTGAACTATGTCTTTATTAGGTTTACTCTCAGACAATACTGCTTTACCTAAGTCTTCTTGACAATGCAGAGTTTAAGCAGTTGGCAGAAGTTTCCCTTGAGGGCTTTCTACCAGAAAAGTACCTCTTGTATAAGGTTAGGAAACTTAAATCACCGCCTCATGGTTGTATGCCACTGCTAACCAGTGAAGTTGCAGTTACAGTTTACAAGCATATCTGTAAAAACATGGATGCTTCACACACATCTTCCCCCTGGCAGCACAGATCTATACAATCACCGGAGTTTCAAGGTGTACACCAGAGATTAGAGTCACCAGTTTAGTAATTGACCAAATGTCTCCCCTTTTGCTCCTGAGTTATGATGTTGCGTAAAGTGTTTTTGTAAATGTAAAGACAATGGACTGAGGGGTGACTTACAGTGCAGCCTGCCACCCTTCCTTCATGTAGAGGTGTCCTCTCTCTATGCGTTTGTTTTTAGCAAAGTGCATCCTTTTGGGGAGGTTTTCTTTGAGGTACGGCCTCATTGGCTGGTCAGAGGTCCTGCACTTCAGAACAGACACAGAAGAGGAGAATCAACACGCAGCAGAGGGAGAATGGGATTGTTTGACGTGAGGCCAAGCAAGCAGATAATTTTTCATTCTTCTTATCAATACAAAAGTCACATTTGGAATACTTCGCATACCGACAGGTTCTTTATCAGGCCCTCATAGTCGACTGAGGAAAGAGACACAGGACAAGGTCAGCCACACTGGTTACAAACAAACTGACATTTAGCGATGCTGCAAAGCTGGAAACTGATGGGAACTCACAGGAAAAGAAATCCCCTGGGAGGGTATTGGGTCTGATGCGAGCAGCCGGACCTTGAATGACAGCAAAGCCAGCGTTGTCCACGTATGATGACACATATGAAGCTTTGTCACAGGAAGCCTCCTCCATGCCTGCAAAAAAAGAGAAAATATTAATTTGTCCTCGGTTTGTTTTGTAAATGGTGAAGATGTAGGTTTGAATCTGTAAAGGTTTTACAAATGTAGCTATGATAGCGTGAAATGTGTGACGCTTGTGCACTGTATGTGCATGATTTATCTTGTTTTTGTCCACTGCTGATGTTGTTTCACTTAAATGTTATTCTTCTTTGGAGCACAAAAGGTTGAGGGTTTTACAGCCCTTAAAATTTACAGCACTTTCATAGATTTATAGTAACAGTGTAACATTTGTTGACATCTTAACACTGATGAATCTGTCTTGATTCTTGTTACTGGTGACTCATTGCAGACTAATAACTAGCACAGCAGGTCAAAATTAATATCTTGTCTTGGAAATGACGTCTTTGGGGAGGATAGCTGGGCATCGCCCTGAGCCACATTTACTCCCACGCATTGATCTCTAATATACCTAATTACAAGACCGCACATATGGTCTCCAGATGTCCAGAGAAACTTGTCACCAAATATCCTCCCAACACACCACTGAGAACAGATTCTCCCAGTTTACTCCCAGACAACAGACTCATTTTTCATCAGATTTCTCTCTGACACAGACCTGTAGTTTTCTCCTGTAACTAGAGTTCTCCTGTGACTCAACCAAATCAAACATTTGTAGATGACACTAAGCCTCTGAAGTCTCCCTCGGTGTCACACAGGCTCTAAAACGATGGTATGTCTTACTACTGTGAAACCACAGAGATTTAGGACGGATGCACCAAGTTTGTTTGTGAGCACATGCACAGGCAAAGAAGAAAGCACAAAAGGGAAAAAGAAATTCCACTTCCTCTGAAAAGTGTTGAAAGAATTTGTTTTTGATGGAATTTTAGCTGAAAGACAGGACTCACTGATTGTTTAATCACCTTTCTATCTGTAAAATGACACTGTTAACTGTATCACAGTTGTGTGCATGCTGTGTAGTCATCTCACCGTGGTCTGATGTGATTATAATGTTGACACAGTGGTGCAGGTTTCTCTCTGTCAGGCCATCCATCAGCATGCCCAAAATCTTGTCCACTTTTTCCAAGGCCCAGACGACCTGAAGGCACAACATCATTTAAAACTTTAACAGAGGTCAAGTGTTACTGCTGCAGGAGAACAATGTTCAGGAAAACTGTGACTCTGTCATGGCAACACCTCAGGAACAACTTGCTTCAGCAAATAAATAATTGGCAAATTGAATGGATGAAAATGCCTTTGTCAGCATCGTCCATAACCCTGACATTTTGAATCGAGGCAAGATACTCTATAAAGCCTATCCCAGCTGACACTGGGTGAGAGGCAGGGTACACCCTGGACAGGTCGCCAGACTATCACAGGGCTGACACATAGAGACAGACAACCACTCACACCTATGGACAATTCAGAGTCACCAATTAACCTGCATGTCTTTGGACTGTGGGAGGAAGCTGGAGTACCTGGAGAAAAACCACGCTGACATGGGGAGAACATACAAACTCTGTACAGAAGCCCCCCCCCAGCAGAGGGTGTGTACGTGTGCCTGTGTGTGCAGACTGTGCAGTAGTAGTCTGAGTGGGTGGAAGTTCGCTGCAAAGATCAGCCTCTCATTGGGCGGAACGAGCCACCCGCTGAAAGTCCCGCCCTACCACCTCCGGTTGCAGTTTTCAACATGTCCTTTACTAACTTTTGCTGTGTTTGATCTTGCGGGGATGTAGCCATTTTTCTGCCATGATTCGTGTCCTGTAGGCGATATTTTTGTGGGCGTGTTACACCAAAACCTGTTTCCCCCCGGCAATATTTTTGCAAGCGCACCGTTGCTGTGTCACCGCCAAGAACGATTGTGATTGGCTGAAAGAAATACAAGCAGCCAGGGTGTTTTTTTCTCCAATCTTAAAGTGAGAGTTGGCCCAGCCAGACCTTTCTTTTCTTGAGAAAGTAGGAGCTCTGCAGCTCAGCAGCGCCGTTACAATGGACCGCAAAAAGAGGAAAGGTGGAGTTGAACGGGAGAGAGATAAAAAAAAATTTAAAAAAAAAAGGGCCACTGTTCACCTTTGTTTTTACATGGTAGTGAGAACATTGCTACATTGCTTATTTTACTGCACAAAATATTTGGTAGGTCTTCCTGGGTCAAAAATACCTCCACAGGTGGGTTGCAGCGCAGGCTAAAACAGTTTGGGGACCCCTCTTAAGGATAGGCTCTTATCTGTCTAAGTTCAAAAGTTTTCAATATCTATCTAATGTTACTGAAATAAGATCAGATAAGTTGAAGTTGCTGCTGACTTATATCTTTACTTGTTTTACTGTTGCATTGAATATGGGTGTTGCCATATTGATTATGATAAGCTGACATCAAAATGATTAGCTGACAAAATAATACAATCATGTTGTTTAGTTCAGCATAATACCCATTCATGTAAGAGTCCTGGTTTATTGAGGTGCACATTTGGTGAGGGTAGGGAAGAGAAAAGCACTGGACTGGAGGACTATGAGTAGGGTTGCTGTTACAGTTGTGTTTAATAGAGTTGTTGTGTGACTGTCAGCCTGGAATAATGAGCTTTGGTGATTACTTAGCCCATATGTGTGTCCGTGTGCACGTGCACGTGTGTGAGCATGTAATGTGTGGATTGGGTGGCCTGGGTGGATGTATGACTCCCGGCCTGAATTTTTGTCCCAATCCATCCCTGCAAACATGTGGTGCAGACATGAACACTCTGGAAAAAGCTGGTTAGAGGAGTTCAGTAGAAGATTATGTCAAGCTACTTGTTCTAAGGGTTAAGAATGAACTTTCTGGTGACTTTTTCTGTTCAGTTAAAAGGCAGCTTATAACTGCCGGTTTAATGTTTAGTGAAAGACTGACCTGGCTGCTTGTTGGACCATAACGATGTCCTGATGAGTCAGGTTCATCCAGGTACAAAGTGTAGAAGTCGGGTCTAAAATCACAAAGGCAACAGTTAAGTGTGATGTACAGTGTTTTTTTTATGGCAACTCATTACATTATGTTTTAAATGTAAATGAAAATGAACATGTGATACCTTTCTTCCTGAGGTAAACTGAGCCATTCGAACACTGTCGACAATCTCTGTTCAAATGAAATGCTCCTGTGCACAAAAAAAACGGAATTAATAAATGCCTTTACTATATGATACCATAAATGTTCCTGGAAATAATTTAACAGTTTTACATAATGGCACCAATCTTACTTGTCATACAACTTGTAGAAGGTGGGGAAGGTGCCATTGATGTTTACATCAGAGCCAGGCCAGAAGAAGGTTCCTGCTCTCAGTTTCTGACGAATGGCAGTGACCCAGACCTGAGGGGGGAATAGGTGAGGGGAGGATGGGAAAGGAAGGGAGATGAAACAGAAAGGATGGAAATGCAGGAAAGGACAGGACAGGAGAGGACATGAAACAGAAGGAGAAGAGAGGATTGGATCAGAGAGGAGAAAAAATGAAACAAAAGGATAGGAAAGGAGAGGAGAAAAAGATGAGAGGAGAGGAGAGGAGACGAGACAACACGAGACGAGACGAGACAAAACAAGAAGGGAAGTGAGGAAAGGGTGGGAAAGGAGAGGAGATGAGACAAAAGGATTGAAGAAAGGAGGAGAGGAGAGGAAACAGAGGGGGAAGAGAGGAAAGGGATGGATCAGAAAGGAGAGAAGATGAAACAAATGAAGAGGAGAGGAGAGGAGAGGAGAGGAGACAGAGAAGGGAAACAGGAGGGAGTGTGAAAAGGAGAGGAGATGAGAGAAGAGGATGAAATAGAGGAGAGGAAACAGAAGGGGAAGAGAGGAGAAGGGAGGATGGGAAAGGAGAGGAGACAAGACAAAAGAATGGGAAAAGAGGGATATGAAAGATGAGGGTTGGGGAGAGGAAACAGGAGAGGAAAGAGAAGAAAATAAAAGAAAAGAAAAGAGAAAAAGAAAAGAAATGAGGCAAAAGGAATGAAAAGGAAAACAAAAAAGAGAGGAAAGGAAACAAAAGGAGGGGAGATGAGTGTCAGCTCAGTTCCTGATTAATTCAGACAGGCTAAGCTGTAGTAGAGTAATACCTTATTCATTCATCTCACAGCACAAGTGTTTAGTCCATTAAGATGAAAGTGTAATTCCTCACAGACCAGCCACGACTGATGGAGATCCATCTGCCTGGCTTCATGTTAAATCGATACCTGTTCTGCAGGTAGCAGTGGTTTATTCATGCAGCAGGCTTGTGAGCATGTTTTGGCAGATGCACTTAGTTGTATTGGTTCATTATGAAGGAGTGCAGTCCAGGAATCATTATTCATTTATTCCCCCCTCCTGGAAAGTCGTATGGCTGCTGCATGGTGCGTTTTTTAAGAGGAGCAGCCTGTCACACAGTTGAGGAATGAAATTTAAGAGGCATCCCATTTAGACGGGAACCACAAAGTGTCTAAACAAGCACAACTCGCAGCCCTCACAAGCTGTCATTTAGCACGAGCACAATCCATAATTATATCAAGAAGATCATTCCGGGGAGAGGTGATTCTCGGCTATGAAACTCTGCGCTGTCAAAAAAATAAAAAAAAATAAAAGGCTATTCGCAGACAGCAAATTACAGCACGCCTTGAGCACAATGCTTCATATTTCTTACACAAGTGGATTCATGTCAGGTTTTCCACAAAATCAGGGTGTGGTTACTCTCATTTATTACAACACAATAGGGTCTGGCTTTCCGATGTGTGAAGGAAATGTTACAAAATCATTGCTCAAACTTCCCTGCTGTGACCTTTGCCAATGAAAACACTTTTAAAAGGCTAATATTTACCTAACAGTCACACTGCTCCCATTGCACACAATGTCGTGGTCTCACAGATTCACTTACCGGCTCTCCTTGGTACCATTTTGGGTTGAACTTCTCCTCAGTTTTCAAGCTGAAGAAAGCGTTTTGGTCCACATCGTACATCTTGTTATCTACAATCCCATGAGACTCAGGGTAAAGACCCTGCAGAGAGATAGACGCAGTTAAGCTGAGCTGTTTTGATGCTGTGGCTGCAGGGGTTTTAAGTGATTACCTCCTCTCTCCAGCCTTTCTAACCTAAATATTACTGGTAACCACAGCAGTTTATTTTAATTGCAGGGTCTGTTTTCAGCCGAGAGAGGTGAAAGGCACTCTGTAAGCCCCCTGGTTCTGCTGCTGTTCCTCTCCACAAGCACATGTAAGCCATTAAGCCTCCACAGTAATCTCTGTATCACTGTGAGGAGACACTGCCTCTACAATCACAGGGAAACCCCCAAATCTCACACTAGTTCACTGTTGAACTGTGGTACACTAAAAGCAGTGGTGGAAAGGAAGTAAGTGCATTTACTCAAGTAGAATTTTGAGGTATTTTTCAGAGGGAAATATTGTACTAAAGTTACTTTTCAGGTTTACATTAAAACATAATAAGGTAATAAAACAGTGCAATCAATCTTTTTTGTCTTGTGACCAAAAAAAACGGGGGCTCTTGCTACTTTTAGACATCACTGTGCGAGATGTTAGCAGAACCACAAAAGACATTTTTCCTTTAAAGCTCCCAGTTGGTTTGAGACCCAAGGATATAAAACTTAAGCAAAGATGAGAGAATATTACAAAAAAAACATTAATTTGTTTCACTGAGCTTTGTTTTTTCTTCTTTCCTGCCCCATTAATTAACTCACGACCCCTCAGATTTATCTGGTAACTGTCTAACGTGGGCCCAAGCCCTTGTTTGACAACCACTGCACTAAATTCTGATGCCCATCCAGTGGAGAAAACTGGATAAAGTGCACCACTGGGGTGCCCTTGAATAAAGAAAACATGATAAAGTGCTCTCTAGGGTGCCCTTCCAGTAGAAAAATGTGATGACATGCCCAAGGGTGCCCTTACATTGAAAGAAACATGACAATGTGCCCTCTTGGGTGCCTCCCTCCAGTGGTAAAAACATGATAAAGTGCCCCCTAAGATGCTTTTAAATGGAGTAAAAGTGATGAAGTACCCTCTAGGGTGCCATTCCAGTGGAGACAGCATGCTTTAGTAATCTCTAGGGTGGACTTAAAATTGAGAAAACATGATGTGGTGCCCTACGTGCCAGAAAACTTTCTGTGCACTGGTGAGCTTTTTACTTTTTCCGCCCCTGACCCTCAGACAGCCAGAGTCCGCCCCTGATGTAATATATAATATGTGTAAATCACGGTCACCATTTTTCTGCAGAATGAGTACTCTTTGATATTTTACTGTCAGTGCTTCTCTTTTGAATAGAAGACTTTTACACCATTGACAAAACAAGTCAGACAAAGCAATCTGTCATATAAATCAACCCCTGACTCTGTGAGCTAACCAGGAAAGACTTACAGTCACAATGCTGTAGTGGTTGGGGAAGGTCTTTGTGGGATAAACAGGCCTCATGTATGGTGTTGTGACTCCAGTGTTTCCTGCAACACAGTTATGTTCAGTCTCGGGATGCACAGTAAACCACGAAGAGCTGTGCAGCCAACAATGTCGGGGACTTACGTAACTTGTTGATGATAGGAAGGTGGCTGGCGTGATCTTTCAGGTACTCCGCCCTGAAACCGTCCAAGGACACCAGGATGAGAGGGGACCTGTTAAATCTGGGAGGGAAGACAGAGAGGAAGAGTGATGCTTTATGTTGACACTGAGGTAGGGTTGGGAAAGGGAAATGGAATAATTACTCAGCAGGAGATATCTTTGGCACCAGCAGTGTACCAACAGTGTTGTACAGTAGGGCTGTGTAGGCAGAGTACAAAGCAGCTCTTTGACTGAGCAGGAGGAAAAAAAGTGAAATCACAGACCACACAAACACACAGAGGAGAACAGGGGAGTAATGTGAATCTACTGATAGTATATCAAAGAGGGTTCTGTTGGTCTCTGCAGATTTGTTTGTTGCCCAGACTGAAGCACGGCCCTTTTCAGTGGGAGCACTATATTAATTTGATTATCTGCAAGAATGACAGATTAATGCTTCATAACTCATGATAAGTCATATAACTATCTTATCGCAGCTACACAGGACTATGAATATTGACCAGAAGTATTGAATAGTGTCAAGAAATGCAGGTTGTCGTTAAATGATTGGTCAACACTACAATGACCACTCTCGAGTTACATACATAGTCATCAATCTATCATTGATATAAAACTGATTGTACATATATAATAAACAGAAGTGCTTAAGCATTCCATTAATTGATTTCTAATTATACAATAAAAACAGGAATTATTTAAAAAAAAAATTAATTAATTAAAATAATTAAATTGAATTATTCATAACTGATATTCAATAATAAATAGAGGAATTTTAATAGCATTTTTGATTGAATATAGTGACTAAAAAAGTAAATTAATTGGTCAAATTAAAATGGGTATTTTAAGAAAAAAGACAATCAATAAATATATTATTTAATAAATAAATAAATAAATAAATAATGGAATTTCAAATTCAATTTAAAAATGCTGTTTCGGAGGGATCAATGAATAACTGGATTAAAATGAATTAATCAGCAACTCCTATACTTTGGTCCTTGCAAAATAATCTGTATATTCAACAAATTAACACGTTAAAAAAATGTTTGCCATCAGCACTTTCCACAAGAGCTTCCTCTTTGCGTGTAAAGGCCAAGCCCCACATTAAAATAAACGTGTGGTTTTGTCAACACAAACAATACAAACAAACCCAAGAGAACAAGTGACTTTGATATAAAAAAAACGCAGACAACATTCATTTGTTCAAAGATGGTTCAAAACCAAAAGAAGCCTCATTTGGAGCCACAGGTTTTTCTTTTCCATGGTCTAAAGAGTCTGTCTGGGGTTACTCCCTTACCAAAGCAGAAACACACTCACACATGTGACCACACACTCACCACTCACAAACACATGCCTGATTACGCAGAGTTATTAGCTGGGTTTCCATAGAGACAGTTGCTTTTTTTCCCCACTAAATCAACACCATCATAAAAACAAGAATTATGTGTTTGGATTATTTATACACTTCTAAAAAAAAAGAGAGTGACAGAGAAGTCTTTCTATTTTTCTCTGTGGTCACAGTTTAATTTCCACTAAGAACTGCCTACTGAGAACAATAAGCTCAACTCAGTCAAACTGTGGGAGTTACAGCTGAAACGCTTCATTCTTGACACTAAAACATGCCACAAGTTATCGTACAGAGGAGGACAGCAGCTTCTGTGATCCAAACCAGGCCAGATGGGATGTAAGGTATTATTTTCCATTAAAATCATGTCAGTTATCACATTACAACAGCATTACAAGAGTATTGCATTACCCAGGTGGACACTGTGGGAGATGATTGTCCGCCGATTCCTGCTGTAGCCAGAGTTCTCCTTCTGCGGGAAAAGAAGAGCACTGTCAGTAAAAAAAGGTATGCTTCAGGGTGCCGAGTAGCACACCTGGTGGCATCCCATATGCAAAGACTACATTCTTGCTCAAGCGGCTGCAGATTTGATTGTGACTTTCTAGCCCTTTGCTGCATGTCATCCCCTCTCTGTCCCCTTATCAAATGAAAGCACCCCCGGCCAAAAAACAAACAATAAAAAATAGGTATGCTTCTAGCTGCATACAATATATTTTCCTGACCTAATGTTAATGTGCAGTAACAACAACACTGATGTCACGAATGGTGAGAACTGTGCTGACCTTTAATGCCCCCCCCCCCAAATATATTTATGATATGAATGTTTTACAAAGGAATAAACTGTTTTCATGTAGGATATTGCTTCTCTGTGGGTGCTATTCAGGCTTGCCAATGCTAACACCATGTGTGAGAGGCACACTGGGACTATGGTTAACCAGTGTCCTGCTATTTTATACTTGTCATGGCAATTGCCACCACAGCCAGGGGGTCAACATACGTAACAAACCCTCAGAGTCTTGCCTATTTCATCATGGTTAGAGAGGGGTTACTCTGCTGGACCACACTTTCAAATCCAAGCGATTAGTCTGAAGCTTATTCTGAGCAGAAAAAGCAGTTTTTATACACAATATGTGTTTCGTTGGAAAAATTTTCTGTGTTGACATCATATGCTAAGACAAATGAAAGTGATTTAGTGTGCAGCACAGAGTTCAATACTCAAAAACAGATCTAATCTGCCATATCACAGCCTCTGTGGGTGTGGTTTGACCCGTAAAAGACATGACATCATGTTTTTCCAACTGAGCATGAGTTAGGCATGAGACAGTGGGCCCCTGGGCCTCACCACCTCTCCTACATAGGGACAAAACACACAGACTTTTTGGGTGGTTGTGCATCTTACTGACGTCGTTACGCATCTTTTGTGGTTCTGCGTCTCTTTGTGGTCCTTTTGTGTTTCATTGTGGTAATTCTGTGTCATTTTTGGCTGATTTGTGTATATTTGCAGTCATTTTGTGTTCGCTTGTAGTTGTTTTGTGTCTCTTTGTGGTTGGTTTTTGTCGCTTCATGCAAATTTTGTGTCATTTTTGGTTGGTTTCTGTATATTTGTAGTCATTTCGTGACTCTCCGTTGTTGTTTTGTCTGTTTTTGTAGCTATTTTTGTGTCTCTTTGCAGTTCCTTTGCATCCCTTTGTGGTCTTTTGTGTCTCTTCCTGGTCAGTGCATGTTAATTTGGGTGACATTTTGCAGGCAAAGGCAAGAACCCCGGACACTGTGGGCCCCTGGGTCTGTGCCTAGTAGGGCCGATCAGTAAACCATCCATTCAACTGAGCCCTGCTGACTTCAAACCAGTGAGAAACACATAAACAAAAACTGAGATCCCAAAATCTCTCATGTAAAATAGCCAACATTGTTAAACTTGGACGGAAGATCTTGGGAAGATCTTGGATCCCATCAGTCATAGTAAGAAGCTGATTGTGAAAATAAGTTTTCAGGGCCTTTAACATCAAATTAAAGGCGCTGTATGTAAGAATGTGGCCAAAACGGTTACTGCACTCAAATTCAAAATACTGCCGCGAGTCGTGTCCGCCCCCCCTCCCCTACAGATTCGAGGTTGCTGGACAGCAGCACGCTGGAGACTGATTTGTTTGCCCACGGGCGGCTGCCGTGGCAGGGCCACGTCGCCGCGTCCATGATCTTCGGTTTTCCAGCGGACCGTTCGAGCAAGTCCGGCTTCTCTGCTGCTAACGCTGCTGCCGGGATACAGCTGAGGAGGAGCCGGCTGCTAATGCTATGTACCGGGACACTGCTAATGCTGCTTGCTGTGCTGCTGTAGCTCAGTCGTAACTTTAACTGATGCTGAGACTCTACTGACTGTGTAACTGGTAGACGGTGGTGGGTGGCGCAACAGGCCAAAACACAAATTCAAAACATAAACATGATTTGCGGACCGTAAAATATTTTTTTAAATGCGAATATTCTGGCCATACTATTGTTGTCGGTGAGATCAGTATGTTATATGAACATTATTCCTTAGTCTATGTGACATATTAGGAGGATTTTATGACTATTTGCTTTAGATTTCTAACATATAGCTCCTTTAAATGGCATTATTGAGTCATTTCAGAAGCACACGAGGAAGTTAAAGTCCAGCAATGCCACACTGTCATCCACATATTCATCAGATGACTAAATACAGAGAGGGACTGAAGATTTCGTCTGCTTCCTGGCCAGTGAAGTTTTCCACTGTTCTTTTTTTTTCTTTTAGGCAAGAAGAGCGCACAACTCTGTGAACCACATGAATATGTTGCATAATGACATGAATGGATAACAGCACACACAGACTCTATTAACAAAGACAAAATACTCAACCATCACATTTTTAAATCAGATTTTGTGCAGGACATGACGTGTTGTCATACCACAGAAACCATCTGGACTTTGTTCACATGGAAACAAAACAGGGAGAGAAAACAGCTACAGAGGTTTGACCATTTCACTACTGACCACATCGTATCATCTGAGGAAATACATGCATGTGAAACAAGAGAAATCACTGTCTTAGACCCATTTTGCAGGTGACATATTGACAACTACATTCACAACATGTAGACCTGCATTAATTATTATTTTTGGACACTTGGGGACAGTACACACAAAATTGATATATGTCATGCTGAACACTAGCAAACAGATGCTTATTTGCACATCCAGCTGACACAGAGTGCATTAATCTGGAGTCGTGTTTCTGACCATCTGACAAATATAAATCAAATATTTACTCATCTGTTCGCTCTCAGCCAACTTCTGAAGGGAAATATCTGTCTCTCTTTAGCTGCTAAATGCTTCGCTATGTTCACAAGCTTGCAGCTAACTTTGTCTGCCTGCAGAGTAAGTGTCAAATCTCTTTTGGATCATTACTACAAGTGACCACCTTTACATTAAACGCAGTCATGTGACCCATTCTTAGTATAAACACATTGATCTGTGCAGCTTTAAAGACACATTGAGATGAAAAATACATCTCCCAGGCTGCAAGAGTCCCTGAGTTAAGTTAACAAAATCTCTCTTTATCTCTCTGATTTTTATGGCTCATTTTGAACACTACATGAATATATCCAATCAAATGTGGGGTGCCTAGCTAAGCCCACCAATCATAACACCACACTGACTGTTAGCTCCTGAGTAGCTAGCACAGCAATATCACAATAAGAGGTCTGTGTTTACATTTCAGATGGCAAAACTTTGTTTACATTTCCAAAGAATGTAGTTGAGGTCTAAATTATTCATTCAACTCTCATCCCCCTCCCTCTTTCTCGTTCAGATCTAATGAGATGGGTGCAGGAGGCGCGGGTGAAGCTCTGTGCAACACTCCATTAAAAGCACAAAATATGGAATGTAAACGAAAGATAAAGTTAAGTTTCTGGGGAGGAAAAATAGGGGAAGGGGCTCACATAAGTACATGACCAGGAGGAGACGAGTGAGTCTCATTCTGGTGTTGCAATAAGGCGTGATTTGAATGTATTTGTCAAGCACTGTAACACAAACTTAATAAAAACACAACATATACTCTATTGTTTTCTCCAGAGCAGCTCTGCAAGCATTTAGAAACAAACTAAGTCTTGCTTGAGGACATTCCCACAGATGGTTTGACTCTGCACAGGAAGCTTTTGGCCATTTCTTTCCCCTTTAAAGCAACTGCCTTCCCAATAGCATTAGTCAAGCCTGATGGTGACTGGACACATGACAGAGGGAGTCTTAGCATGTCAGTGAGAGCCCCTCTTCACTGCCTCTCGAGGCCAGCAGTGTGGTTTGGACCGAACACGGGGATGCTCTGTCTCAGGAGACAAGTTGCTGTGGTCTGTAATCCACGGGAAAGCCCGCTCTCAGCAGTTCATACTACATACTGTCAGCCTCGAGGAAGAAGTAAAGTCCTGAGGTTATTTTTATTTCTTTTTATCTGCTTCCAAAGGCCTCACCAAGAAAGCAGCATTACAAAAAAAAGCTCCAACAAAGCTGCACAGATGCAAAAAAAAACACCAAAATAAGAGTCCGGGTGAGTGCAAAGTCAAGATTTATTCTTTCCATATGGCTTTCATGTTAGCTGGGTGGGAAATATAAGTTAAAGGGAATGCCACAGCAGAGAGAGCGCCCCGCCCTGGGCCGGGGACAGTTGCCCACAGTCACCACCACTGCCCCCGAAATGGAAGAGGAGTGTTTTGGCACGGTGGTTTGCAACAAAGAGCACACTGAAGCTACTGCCCACGTCTAACCAGAGGGAAGCTATAGCTGCAGAAAACATGCAAACTTCGGGTGAACATTCCTCTTTCACTTAAATGTGTGTTTATGACGTGTTTTGCAGGAGTGGGCAAAAAAAAAAAAAAAACTTGAATCACACCACCTTGACAGAAACATATCCTGTGGATAAATCAAACCCAGTCTCAGAAGGTAACATTCACCTCTGTGTCTCTCTTCACCGGCTGGCTAGTTGGTAACTTGACCCTCCTTCAGTGTTGCTGTAAATACTTCCGGTTTAGAGTTTCTGACGAACCTACAATTAGCAAGATCTACATTCAATACACTTTCTGGCAGCACAAACAGCAGGTTTGCAGCCTTGCAGTGGGAGAATGCAGTTGTTCCTCTGCCCACTAACAACTTGTAGCATGTATTTTCACCAGCCTTTACAAAATAAGTGCTCCAGAGTGAAACTTGAGATGGTTATTTCTGTCTGTCTCTCTTGTTGCAACCAAGGTTTCTTCATTCACTCTGTGCTGTAGAGTGAAAACCACGGCTCAGAGGGAGCTCAGTCAGAAAAGATAATATAGTATCAGTAATATTTACATGTGAGTGAAAGCAAGAGCGGGCGGCACGGTGGTGTGGTGGTTAGCACTCTCGCCTCACAGCAAGAGGGTTGCCAGTTCGATCCCGGGCGTGGGAGCCCTTCTGTGCGGAGTTTGCATGTTCTCCCCGTGTCAGCGTGGGTTCTCTCCGGGCACTCCGGCTTCCTCCCACAGTCCAAAGACATGCAGGTTAATTGATAACTCTAAATTGTCCGTTGGTGTGAATGTGAGTGTGAATGGTTGTCTGTCTCTATGTGTCAGCCCTGCGATAGTCTGGCGACCTGTCCAGGCTGTACCCTGCCTCTCGCCCGATGTCAGCCCCCCCGCGACCCTCAAGAGGATGAAGCGGTTAGAAGATGAATGAATGAATGAAAGCAAGAGCAGATGAGCAGTTTGAGATTTGGGAATGAAATCTTAAATCTGTGCAAAAAGGGGACAGATTTTCCAAATTAAAGCCCATATTTTTGTATTTTCTGACCTGTTAGTAAGTGGAATAGTGTGAAACATAGCATCGCAGTAACATGAGTGTCCTTGTGAGTGTGCATGAGATGCACAACATGCTCTATTGTGATACTAGTGGTCAAGATTACCTTAAAACTGCAGCCTAACTATATTGTAACTAACTTTTGTTACCCTCTGAAAAACCCTACAGCTAGTGACTGTGCTGATGGATACTTACAAGGTGTGGAAACACCATAAGAAACATACAAGCTGTTAAATCAAGACAATAAAATGGCCAACAGTGCCTACCATTATTGCTCTTCTTCAGAGAAAGAACCACTGCGAGGATGATCACCAGTAAGCACAACAGCAGAACCTGAAGCCAGAGAACAAATTTTAGGATATGTTTAGGTTAAGGTCACTGAAGGTATTATAAATCAAATGCAGCTGTCAACAAACATAAAAGAAGATGTTCAGATTGAACTCCTGGCTCTGGTGAGTACAAGGTAAAAGAAACAAAACTCCACAAAGTCTAACACTGTGTTTAATAATGATCAACAGTGTTCTTCAAATAATGTCCCATTGTTATAAATGATGATGGAAAAACATTTTATCTGATAGCTGTTATTAACCACTGTCACTTGCTGCAAGTGGAAACTGAACAAATAATCATCATGGTATTCTGAAAGATACTGTGGTGAAAATGAATTTGGCAAAAAGCTCGTTCTCCTGGCACTCCAGACACACTCTAGTGTCAGCTACATGCCTTGCGACCATAATATAAACATAGCGTGACCGACTTCTGGCTCCCTTAGAGAAGCAATAAATCAAGACATTTGGAGGAATCATAAACAACAACAGAAAGTGTGCTGTGACTACACAACAGACAGATTTGTTATCCTGTGTTGGCTCTAGAGACAGCAATGTGGGTTGTTCAGTCCACCACTTTGGTCCAGAGTAAGATACCTCAACATCTATTTAATGGACTGCCGTGAAATTTAGAAGAAACATTCATGTTCTTCAGAGGATGAATTTTACTGACCTTGGTGATCTCATGACGTTTCCTCTAGCGCCACAATGGGGCTACAATTGTGTTTTTTTGTGAAATGTCTCAACAACTACTGGATGGATGATTCTGACATGCATGTTTCCCTCAGGAGGAACTGTAAGAGCTTTTGTGATCCCCTGACTTATTATAGATTTTAGTTTGTCCAATACTTTGGTTTATGATCAGGTTTATAACCTGAAAACTTAATGTACTGCCCATAATCATCAGCTGCACTTTATGCGTATCAGTGATTAGCAAATGCTAACATGCTAAGCTAAGGGTGCCCTTAGAAATACTCACTCCATGTGCCGGAACCCACTCCAGCACAAACTGGACCGTTCGTAATGTATGATTTGGAGCGCTATTGATCAGTTACCCAGAACATCGCACACTTAAGGTGGCAGAGCGCACTCTGGGTGCTCTGACTAGGGAGGAGGAGCACCAGGGCACCAAGTGGAGTGTATGTGTGACTAACTTAACTGTTTTTAATCAGTGTAGAAGTAGAATGCACCGTTTCTTTCAACAACAGGACTCTAATATTAGAATAGAGTATCGGACTAGAATGACGAACGTACCCTAAGATGGTGAATGTTGTGTATTATCCTCTAGACTTTAGCACGTTAGCATTGCCATTGAGAATCTTAGCATGCTGACTTTAGCATTTAGCTCAAAGCAGCACCACTGTGCCTCACAAAGCTGCTAACATGGCTGTACACATAAAGTCTTACTATTTGGATTATTCTTCTATTTGGTCAGTTTTTGGTCAGTCTCCAATCTTTATTTAAGATGGGATAAGAGTCTTGCAGAGCTGAGTGAGGGTGGGCCTGTTATTTATTTCCTTTCCACTTTCTCCAGTATACCGTCTCCAACTGTCCGGATGTTGGTCTTGGCTCTCTGTAATTGAAAAGTCAAAGGAGGTTGTGGGCCTCTCTGCTTCTTCCTATATCAGCTGCTCGGCTCATATCTGCCCAGAGATGGCTGCTCACTTCGGGGGCAAGGGGTTGTAATTAGAGGGCTGTTTCAAAGACGTCTGAATCACTTTATTTAAAGAGGTAGGCCTTAAGCAATCTTATCATTGCCACCTGTTTTGAAGCTCCTGCAACACCCACACAGGGCCTGCAGCGGTTATTGTGGTCGTTTAAGTAGTTTATAAAACAGTATCCTGCCAGTCTGAAACATCTCCCTAGTCCCGTAAGTTGGTGGTTTTCAAATTGTTAAGCTTATGCCACCTCAAAATGAACACGTCGGTTTGATAGAATTACAACATGTCCATGGCAGTCCATGATTTGACCAGCTTGTGACCCCATTGGGACCACGTGCAGGGCCCTGACTAAAGGGCAATGAGCTACTGCTGGAAGTGGGGCTGTAAATGCTTCCTCATCACATGACATCCTCTTCCTCCTCTCTCTCTAAAAAAAAATATTTACTTACTCAGCAAAAAATATTCCATTACGTCCTTTTGTCGTAATGTTTTTCTGCTTCAAGAATCCCACTTCCTAAGGGAGCCATAAATATATGATCTTATCTCACAGTATCTAAACAAGTCACAGGAACCATTAAAGTTATTTATAGGCTGGTGGTAAAGACTGTTTATATTTGCTTTCGTTATCTTAACTACTCGGATATCTGTTTTCACTTAAAATGTGGAATATAAATCCTTTTTTTCCCAATGCAGACAAATATATATCTGTTTTCCAAACTAAACAATACACATAAATCCAACTGGAGCTCACTTGTAGGAGGATGTATAAACCATGCTGATATACACAGGGAGCAAATTCAGTTGTGGCCAATACTTTTTGTTTTAAGACAAAGACAACCATCTGACTCAACACTACATTATATACTTTAATGCTGTGCTCATTCATGCCCTTTAATTTAATCACTATAAAAGCTGTAGCGGAGCGCAGTTAGTCTCAAAAGCTTGTGTAAGATTGTAGGGAATCATCACCCACGAGTAATCCATTTAGTGTGATTCACATATGCGAGAATTCCTAGACGGGTATGAAAATATGCTGCTGTGTGTGCGTGGTGTCTGGGTATGTGCACTTATTTTCTCCAGCTATAGGTGAAAGAAAGTGAGAGACCTGGATTGCATGGCCTCCTTGGGAAAGACGTGGTCTTTGTGGGTTGTGAAAGTAAACAGTCTGTCTGGTGGAAACCTACTTGACTGAAACTGAAACACACGACAACCTTCAGTTTTGTCTCCATTGTCTACTGGTCAAAGATCTGATTAGACAGAGAGGAGTCAAAATCAGACTGCAACAGCAAAATAAAGTCCACAAAAAGACACAAAAAGTAACCCTCATGTTAGAGAACAAAGCAGCCCTGCTTCGTGGCTTTCGTCCAGAGATGTTGCAGTCAACCTTTTGCAAGACCTTACATAACACTTCAGTGTAACAAGTAAGAATATCACAATTACTACCAGCTGCATGGTGACTGGTGTGTGACAGGACAGACTGTGAATATTATTGTCTAGACTTTGCCACATGTGTATTTAATTAGTATAAAGCAAACAGCAGCTGCAAACTACCTGTGGTTTACACTGGAGTTTGCTTGTCAACAGTTTGAAAAGTGTTTACTGTAATGTGATTTCTGACAGTTTATTTCAGTGATGAGGCAGATGAGTGGATATACAGCTACATACAGTACAGTATCTCAGTTAAAATGTGCCATTTGGCCTAATATATCAATGTATTCATTCTTTTACTGTAAAAAGCTCATCTTTTTCTGATATAGCCCCGACCACAGCTAAATAAAAGCAGCATCTAATACATATAATCACATTTTTTGTAAAGCCTCAAATGTATCCCAGATTTAGTTCCTCTGTAGAGTTTGTGTGGTTTGTCTAAATGCCTCATGGACAAAAATGGCTGTTGTTGTTTATGTGACTTTTCCTCGGTGACAACAATAAAATTCTAGAGAATACAAACAAAACAGCCATTCTACTGTGCAGGCAAATTGTCATTCAGATTATAAGGTAGATAGAGGCAGTCAGTGAAAGACAGCCGGGGTTGTTGTTTGGTCTGAAAGCGGCTCTCAGCTGATTTAAATCCACAGCAGCAGTGTCTGCTATGTAAATGTACCCCTCACCTCCACATTATTAATTCAAAGCTCAGTTGTCATCACACATGCTGTATGGTGGACACATTTATCCAGATAATAACCTTACAGTGCCATATGATGTTTGTACAACAGGAACTGATTCTGATTCTGAACACAGCAGTATGCAAAGATGTCAAAACAAAAATGACCTGCTAAAACTCATTTATCAGTAACTTTTATCATAATCTATTAATTGTTTATTTTAACAGGAAAAAAGCCAAACATTTCATTTGATAGTACTGGGTCTCAAATGTGAGAATTTGTTGCTTTTCTTGTCCTTACCTTTGAGTGAATTTAATATTTTAAGGATTTTGGATTGTTGGTCGCACATAACAAGCATTGTACTGTAAGGATATCACATTGTGTTGTGTTGTTTTTCATTGTTTTGACATCTTTTGACCCTTTATCAAGCAAATAATTATGCAGTTAATTAAATAATGAATCAAGAATATAATCAACAGGTTAGTTGGTAATGAAAATATCTGTAAATTGCAGCTCCAAAACTAAACGTATGGTGACATTCTTCTCTGTTTGTCTGAGTCCCCCTACTGCAACCCCCTCAAACACCAGAATACACACTGGAAATAGTTAAGTATTGCATGCTCCCTTTTTCTCACTGCACCAAACTTCCAGCTGAAACTTGACTCTTTTGTATTAAAATACACACTGTGATCCGAAAGGTCCTGTCCTGCTTTGCACGAACAACTGTAGCTCATCTTCACCTGCAGAGACACTTCTGGACTCTGTCTTTTTGCACTGGAGTGAAAACATTTGGTTCGCACATTCACACTGGCAGTGCTGACAGTCTCGGCTGTTTGACAGCTGGGGATTAATTATAGCGGGGGTAAACAGTGCATAAATGTAGGTCTATGGGTGTGTGTTTCTAAATTCTTGTGATGTATGACTTTGCAATAAAGTCATATACTGTCACTTGGGCTGCATCTAATGATTATTTTCATTATCAGTTAATCTGCAGATTACATTAATGATTCATTGACTGATCATTTAGTCTATGAAATGTCAAAAATTGTAGAAAATCTTGCCATTTAAGCTTAACTGATATCTCCAAATGTCTTATTTTGTTGTACCAAAAGTCTAAAACCCAAATAAGTGCAGTTTACAATCAAATTTGACAAAGAAGATCAGCAAATCCTCAAATTTTAGAAGCTGCAACAAGAGCATGGTTGGCACTTTCTCAGTATTTTGGCTAGAAAAGGTCTAAAACATTAATTAATTATCAAAGCAGATGCTTTGGTGATTTCCCCCCTCTAACAGTCACTATAAACTCAGAATCTAAGGGGGTTTATGGGCATATTCCAAGTTTACAGACACATTTTATGGTCCTATAGCAACACTGAAAAGCCCTTTAAAGATATATTTGGGTGACTATAAAAAGTCTTTTGAGCACCACACAGAGGCACTAAAGTTGCTTTTGATAATATGGTTAAAATGTGCAGCAAGACCAAATAAGTTTAAGTCATGAAAAACAATTTTTGTGATGTTTCCTGTAGGACTGTTGAATTAATAACAACATGTGGCCTTCAAACATTGTAGTGCAGAGAAGAAGTCATATATGAAGGGAGGTGAGTATAAGCTGTATTAAACGTACCCCAATGATGATTTTCCAGAGGTTATTCCTCTTCTTTCCTCGTTCAGTGTTTCCCCTTTGACTCTCCAGCTCTGATGTCCCAAACAAAGACGCAGCCTGTTCAGCCGAGCGGTCCTCTCCTTTGGTTACTTCCATGCTGCTGAGTGCTGCAAACTTCTGCCAGTGTTTTCCAGGAGGGAGTGAGTGGCACACAGACCTCTACCCTGGCTGAGGAGTATATGCTGTGTGTAGGATATGACCCCTCTGCTCAAGTGTAGCACCGCCTTGTTCCTTGACGTCTCCAAGTTTGCAGAGCAGCAGCATGTGATTGATCTGGGAGAGAGTTGGAGGCTGCGGGGCTGATTAAAGAAAGCTGAGCCGACCTCAACACTCTGCTATTTTGGCTCAAGTGTCATTTTCCAGTGAAGTCTGTTCACTAGTAAAATCAGATGCTTTGTCCACTTTAGGAAAGAGTTGGAGCTATAATGAAAAAATATACAAACACATACATAATATTTATGTAAATACGTGCCTCAAAAGTGTTATTCACATTTAATGTTTGAGCTGTAAAAACAAACAAACTAACTGTCAAACAGCTGCTGAAGAACTTCAAAAAATACTTACTGTGAAGTGACTTAACGCTGCCGCCATCTTGTGGTCAGACTGGAGTGGTGCGCTATCCCTAATAACATCCAAAGATGACAGTATAATTTGGGCACATGGGAGAAGTTTGCCTGATGGGCTTTTTATTCATTTTAACTCAAAACCACGATTCTTCCCCCGTCTCACAGAAGAGCCCCGAGGCAAACTTCCCCTAACAGCCCAAAATGGCGTCTGGGACAGTTGAGTCCTATAAAAATACTTGATAAAGTTATATCCAGTAGCTTTAGTTATGCAGTTAACATTAGCCTGTCTCACTCCAACGGTTACAAAAACCATCTACCGGCTTCTATAAAGCTCAATAACTTACAGGATATATCTCGTTTGTTTAACCCGCAATAAAACATAACAATATTATTGGGGTTAAGTGCCACACTGATTGGTAGCTCTGGTTTGTTGCTAGGCAACCAGTCAAGGACGTGACTGCTCGACTGTTCTGGCTAGCTGTTCAAAGCTAAGCTAAGCTAACTGGCTACTGCATACATTCACTGTATTCATAAGAGTGGTATCAGATGTCTAATTTAACTTTCCGCTAGAAAGCTAATAAGGACATTTTCCTATATGTGGTTCTACTCCCTTAGTTATTTGGTCTTTCAACCATCAGAAAACGGCGAAAAATGTCTGTATCAAACAGGGTGCAACCCGGATATTGGGAACACCGACTTCCGCTAGCTTAGCTCGCAGTTGAAACAATGGGGTGTCCAGTTTGTTTTGTCACTAGAGCGTTTTGTCCAAACAACTGTCCAAATCCCAAAGATATTTAGCTTTCAGTTGCATAAATAGAGCATCAAATATCACACTGAGAACAAATGAAGATTTAGTTTTTTTTGTTAGAACAAAAATGACTTAACTAGTTAAAATATCAAAATAGTTACCAATTATTTTTTTTATACTAACTGAAAACTAGAGAACTGAAGAGGCCTCTTGAATGAGACATGAAATGTCTTAAAGAAACTCAAGCAAGTCCAGTCCTACATATGGCACTTGGAATTACCATGACCTGGATGAATGAGAATCTTCACCAGCAACTGAAAAATAGTTTCAGCTGTAATTCACATTGCAGCATCATATCTTGCAGGTTCACATTTGTTTTAGGCTTTATGAAATTTAGCCTAAGGCAAAAATGATTTAGGCCAGGCCTATTCAACGGCGGCCCACGGGCCACATCCAGCCCAGTTTATATATTGACTTTGCTGTTGTAAACATGACTTTTGCTGCCATAGACTGTATAAAAATACGTCCTATGTATTTTCCTAAACACTTGACCTCAAACAAAAATGTAATGTGGTGAGGTGTGTGTATGTGTGTGTGTTTGTGGTAGAGAGAGGGAGAGGGAGGGAAGGAGGGGCTATCTTCCTAGTAGAGAGGTAAAGGGTGTTATTGGTTACTGCTATTGCCACTTGTTATGATTCTGGTCATTGATAGCATTAAGTGTCTGCAAAACCTCATAATGTTAATATCCATACAATGTTTAATTCTAACATGGTGTGGATATTTACAATGTTGTCAACCTGTTTTTTATTTAAACCAAAATTTAATGTCTGTCCAATGTAATAGTCCAGTGTTTTTCTGGCGTGAATGTTTGTATATCCCTTGAGTTTCCGAAAGAAAGACTGGTGGGCCTTTGATGCTTCCGGTTTAACAACTAGTTTTACTCTACTAGTAATCTAATCTCTACAATACTTCATAACTCTGTCTCCAAATATATCAACCACATATGACGGTTTATTTTTACACACCCAGTTTAAACTTCCTGTGTCATGTTTACAAGTGATTATTCACTCCCTAGGTAAATGTCAAGTTGTCATGAACAACATCACGAGCAGAGCACTCAAAGCGACATTATTCAGTGAATGACACACAACAACAGCTGTCATGAATATTTATGAGGTTTGCTTCTTTCCTGTCAGCTATCATGAAAGCGATATTTTAAATGCACACTCAGTTCTGCAGTTCTTTGCTGTTGAGCTTCATGTACAAGCACCATAGTCTGCTGAACCTTCAGCTACTTAAAAAAAAGGTTATTGCCACACACTCACCTCAGCTTTTTAAACCTGTGCACATTCAGGGAGAGCAGGTGGAACAGGTGGAGTGCCACAAATATCTGGGGACACAGATGGACACCTGCCTGTCTTTTCAAACACACTCAGACACAATTTACAATAAACCACTACAGCGCCTCCATCTTCTCAGGAAACTGAGAAACTTCAATGTCAGTAAAAAGATCTTAATGATGGTCTACCGGTCACTCATAGAATCCATTCTCACCTTCAATATCACCTCCTGGTACAACTTTCTCACCAACAAACAGAAAACAAAACTCTCGCGGATCACAAATCAAGGCAGCAAAACAATCGGTTCACCACAAACTCCACTGCTCCATCTGTATGAGTGCTCTGTGATCAGGAAAGCCACCCTGATCACAGATGAACCCTCTCATCCCCTTCATCACTCATTCAGTCTCCTCCCATCAGGCAGGCAGGAGATACAAAGTCCCACTGGCCAGAAAAACAATTTACAAAAAATCATTCATTCCAACTGCAATAACAGCCCTCAACAGCAGAGGAATTACAGTGCTTTGATCATGACTTGCTGCTGGTCCTTTTCTTTTAAATGTCAATGTTTTGTACATGTACCTTTTTTGTGTGTTTTTTTTAGATCGTATAAATGTCTTGGATGTGCTTTAAATGTCTTCTGTGTGTGTGTAAACCTAGTGTTGAGCCCTGTCGAAGACAAATTTCTGTCGCCTTTTGGTTCCAGACAATAAAGTTTTCTATTCTATTTTATTCTATTCTATTCTATTCTATTCTATTCATTCACTCAAGAAGTTAACATCATACCTGCTTTCTGAGTCAATGCTCTGGCTTGCTGCTCTGGCCCTCTTGAGCAGCCCTGTTTCTGGATGCCACTAAAGAAGCACCAGGTGTGTGGCTGGACCCCTTTTCATTAAAGTAATCCTGCTGGAATTTCTGTGGGTCCTGTCCAATACTTTTCGTCCCAGTAATAACAGTGCTGAGAACAACTGTTATGAAATTGGCCTAAGGGAAGTTTTCAGTGCCAATCCTCTCTTGGAGTCACTTTCACCAAATAACTAGGGCCTATGTGTCACATTTCAGCCAGTTCTCCATTTTGACCTATTTTCCCCTCTATTTGTCTGCCACACAATAAAACTTTGCACAAAAATGTATTTAATTCTACAGACTGTTGCTGCTTTTTCAGTGACCAATGTTTGTATCCATAAATCAGAAAACATCCCTCATGTAAAAGGAACTAATTTCACATCATTAAAAATAAGCACATACTGTAGTAATCCAGTTCCCTGCAGTATAAAAGCATCCACAAGATGGTGATGTCACAACACAGTTAAAGTAACACTACATTTTCGTCACTGTTGCAGAGATATTTTCATGACGCTATTAATAAAACTGCTCCTGATCCCTGACAGCTTCAACACAGCACAGGCATATTTCAGCTTTGTGAGGTCCAGGTTCCCCTCAGATCCAGTTGTGTCATGTGGCGTGATAATGGAGATCACATGTGGCTGGAGCTGCTGACCTTTGACCTCTGCCTTGTCCTGCACTCAAAAACAGCCCAGGGTTAACTTGTCCTTGTCTCCCTGTGAATGTGCATGTGTTTGTGTGTGTGTGTGAGGGCCTGAATATGAAAATAAACCCGGTTTTGTGTTTTACAAGGGTGTTCATGCATGTATGTGTGTGAGTGCGTGTGTGTTTTCGTGTCTGGCTGTGGTTGCAGTGACTGCGGGACAGTGTATGTGTGTGTGTGTGTGTGTGCTGCTCAGTGAACTGATGTCTCCCAGCGGTGTGTCTCCCTACAGCTGTCCCTAACCCAGCTGGACTGCACAATATGACCTTTAATGTTGACCTACACATGTAGCACTTACTGTCCTCATCACATGTTCCACCCGACTCCTTAAAGTCTTTTAAGGAAACACTTGACGAGTGTGTCACTAATCCTATGCCTGGCAACACTGCTGAATGCACCGAAGACATGTTGAGCTTCAAAGCATTTTCCAGACTCCAAGAACATAACTTAATCATGACATTTACAAAAATATTCCATTCTGGTCTTCTCATATTTTGAATAATTTACTCAGTGAAGCATGTGCATGACTTCAGAGAATCCTCAAAACAAGTAGAAAAATAAAACACTGTACTTAAAATGCGACTTTTTCATACAGTGCACAGGAAATACAAATACATCAAACTTTAAAGCTGCTGTATTCAACATGAACTCTGAATGCCCCCACACAGTTTCCCCTAAGGAACAGTGCTGTATGTACTATACTCTGCATCTGCTTGTTCCAACACTTCACTGAAGCAGGTACATGATGCTTACATGCATATCCAGGAAAATCTTAAAATATGCAGCTTTTATGGTTGCACTTCTGCATAAGATGCACATATGTTAAGCATAGTTTTCGACACACTCTGCCTCAGCATTTGGTACATTTTGTGGCCTTGAATACACTCTCAGATAAGTGAGTTTGAACAATGTGAGGCTACATATTGTGTTAGTTTTCTCATTGGTGAGTCTGTTAAGAAAGATGTTGTTGGACTGATTAAAAACATTGAAGGTTTGGAGGTTTAATAACATTTTAAAAGCGTGCTTCAACACAGGGGTCTTCAAT